GGGCAAACCCGTTATATATAATTAAATTCTATATAGTCTAATAATACATTTCCCCTAAATTTCCACTCTTCAATAAATCAATCTTGCATTCTCTGTCCCCCTTTACCACTCTGAACAATTTGAATCTGATCTATTTCAAAATATCTGTAAAAAGGAAGTCCTCTGATGCAGTGAAAACTATAATATCCTGGAAGGCTCCATGGAAATTACAATTCTACCAGTTATGTCTATAGCACACTGCCTAACAATGGGCATATGGGTCATTCTATAGAAAGTGTGACATTTCTGTGTCCCTGTTACACCTGACCTGTGTAATTTAACATGGAAATGTCACTGAAATTAATTTCAAACTGTTTCTATTTGACTGGCAGGTAATTTGCATTTATTCATCATTCTTGGATACTGGAAAATGAAAATGGGTTCTGAAGTTTCAAAATCAAATGTCAGATGTGAGTTTTCATGAACATAACTACATACATCTTGCCCAACTCCCACATGCACTCTTCCACACAGAAAAACACAATGGTTTTTGCATGTTTTCTAAAAGCAAATCAGAAAACAATTACAATGTGAAAACTGGAGTGTAATATCTTTGAAGGTCTGGTGAACATTACTGCTCGACACACGTTGGATAATTCCCAGCAAATTGCATGTACCAAGTGTTGTCTGAAAGCAAACCAAAAATAGACGTAATACATGTATGTGTAAATACCTGGCTCTGGTTTTCACAATAGCTATAGTCTGGGGATGGCACTTTTGGTCGACGAAAAACTTCATCCTCTTTGTGTGCCTGTGGAAAGGATCGAAGACGAAGGTCAGCATAACGGAATGTATGATCCATGCTGGAAATGTCGATCTCAAACAGACCCAATGTCTCCACACAAAAAAAATTACTTTTTTTTAATGTCAAACATTTGCATTGGAACTAGGCAATTGTGTGGAGTGAGTTTCAGAAAAGGGTATTTGACAAGAACTGCAGTGAAACAACTCTATTTTTTCCAGCTGCTAATCCCGCGAAAGCCATTTGTTTTGTTTTGAGTTTCTAGGACCATCTCACAGCTGGGGGAAGCCGGGAACATCGACCTGTACTGGCATGTGGTGGGTACCAGTGTTGCAGTCAAATTGGGCAGTCTATGAACTAGACCAAGACTAAGACTGACAGTCCGAGACCAGACTATCCGAGACCAAGACCAAAGCTAAGACTGACAGTCTGAGACCGAGACCAGACTATCCGAGACCAAGACCAAAGCTAAGACTGACAGTCTGAGACCGAGACCAGACTATCCGAGACCAAGACCAAAGCTAAGACTCATGGACAGTATGAGACCAAGACCAGACTATCCGAGACCAAGACCAAAGCTAAGACTCATTGACAGTATGAGACCAAGACCAGACTATCCGAGACCAAGACAAAAGCTAAGACAGACAGTCTGAGACCCAGACCAAGACCAGACTATCCGAGAACAAGACCAAAGCTAAGACTGACAGTCTGAGACCCAAACTGCACTCAACTGATCTCATGGGTATTTCCCCACCAAAGAGGCATTGTTAATATGTAAGTTCAAGCCTTTTCTTGCTTGTGCAGGGAGCAAATAGAACAAGCAGGTCACCGAGCCTTTGTCAGCCTCCCTGCAAGCAACCTATACGTACCTGCCACACAAAGTCATAGCTTCAGCTGCGGCTGTTCCCTCATCCAGCAAGGAGGAGTTGGCAATGTCCAGCCCCGTCATGTCTGCAACCATGGTTTGATAGTTCAAGAGATTCTGGAGCCTTCCCTGGGAGATTTCCGGCTGGTATGGGGTATACTGCGTGGTCCTGCGTCATTGGCCAGAAAATGGCACGATACAGTTAGAGGAAGGTGCTTTGTACAACCATGGCGACTGTATAATTACAAAAGGGGGTTGTCTAGTGGTTGTAAGGTTTGAGAACCCTTAACAGATCTGTGTCAGGGGTTCAAGGCCAGCTGCTGGCCACAGGTTGTGACCTTAGGCAAGTCATTTTGCCCCATTTGCCTTGCTCCGCTGAGGAGCGCCAAAATGTGCACTAGCATTTGCGGGGGAGAAGCCTGCAATGGACTAGAATCCTGTGGGGATGGAACAGACTGGCTATACTAAATGAAATTAAAGAATTCTACCGCATGGTTTGAAATGTGATAAAATAAAGGGGCATTTTCGTCAGGAACAAACTGAGTTATAAATCAAATGTTAGAAGGGAGGTTAAGGCTGAGTCTATTTGAATAGCTGAATATTTGAATATAATATCTGACCTTCCAATCCGCGGAATGTTCAAATATACTTGGTCGTCCCAAATTCCCACAAAAGATGAAGCAAATATACATGTGCATGTTTGTGTGGCAATCAACGTCATTGTGTTTTAGGACAGGAGGGCCTTCCCTAGGTAAAGAAGAAGGCCTGGGATCCAACTGATGCTTGGTCCTGATTCATGATTTTATTCCCTTTGTCCCAGTGAGACTGAACACCACACGTACATGTATGGCGAAACAGTGATTTCTTAGCTTCATTGTCTAAGTTTACTTGTAACACTTTGAAAGATACTTTTAAATGCGATTTGTAATGGCATGATTGAATTTATCTCTTTTTATGTTTTAATTTTTCCCCTCAAAGTACTTGGTTTCGAAAATAAATATTTGAACATTCAAGACTTGATTGAGTATCCCAGTGAGCCCTGAGCAGCACCAAGAGAGGGCGCAATCTTCCTAGCAATGCAGGCTCCTTTGGTAGGAACTGCACTTCGCTGGTTCGCCAACGACTATGAAATACACGCGTTACCGACAAAATGAATACTCCCCACCAACCAGGCTCTTTCCAAGTGAGGAAGGGGTGCTTCTGTTGAAGAAAGATATTCAGCATAGCCCTAGGGGAGGGGCAGATCAAAGCTGTTCCCCATGCTCTTACCAGCCAGGATTTTCCAAGATGTTTCTCTGTATCGTGGTTGGTACCCAGCAGTTGTAGTACCCCATGCCGATGTAACTACGCCACAATTGGTTCTGATCGGCAATTTGCTGCAATCTACCGATGATTTCAGGTTCGGCTGTACAGTGGAATACAGTAAGGCCACAGGTAATCATTACCCATTCAAATTCAGAGTTAGACAGGGGCGGAAGGTATTTGTGTTGCTTTTTTAGCAATTGAAGTTGCTGACACTAAGCTAAAACAGGCGAGCCAAGTGAAAATTCTACGACACAGAGTGTTATTTATGATTTGGCTCCGACCCGAATTTTGACAGTCAAGAAGCAATTTACAAAACTGGGTAAACACAAACAGGAAGCTGTTGCATCATGGATGTACAAGCAGCATCCTGTGAAAGAAGATACAAATTACAACAAGTTTATTTACAAATTCAGTGGATGCAATTATTTGCTTTCCTTCTATACTTTATTTCCATCTCAACAGTCACGGGCTGCCAAGCATCACTGATTTCAAACCACAAACTGAAAAACAACTCTTTTCCCACCTGGCCTAATTTCGCAGCGGGGGAGCTGCCCCTGGGGCATGGTGCTGCTACATCAAAAAAGACAGACGAAGGTGTTGGAACATAAAAATCACACATCACAATGTTCTTTCTCGAATGGTTCATTTCAAAGATCAGTTGTCAGAATGTGGAGTTGGGGCCGTAGATTGTAACTATAGGGGGGGGGGGCACGGGCCTCCGACTCGATGCCTCTGTCTCCCCTCCCTCACTCAGAAATTAGAGAGGGAAAGACATACGGTGAGAGTCTGCCTAGTCAGAGTTTCAACTTTGTCCAAACCGAATAAATTCTCCCTCTAGACAATGAGAGCCCCAAGTGTCCCCTCTCCTCCTGCAATACATGTATGTACCCCACTTAACAATGACTGGCTTGGAGGTTGATGCTCAGAGCCAGTCGGACACTTTTCCCTTTCGTTTGCAAAAATATGGTCCCAGTTGCATACAATGAATGCATTCAATTTCAAAACATTTGGTCCCTAACCTCTTGTACAGTAACTTGGTCAGACACACTATGATTGAGTGGAAACTCTGACCGGATCCCACAAATGAATGTTCAAGCAATGGTTTTCCCGCAATTTTCTTTTTTCTTTTAGTTTGCATTAGATAGAGCAGACTGAATACATCTGTTTGGATGTATAGCTCAGTTTGGAATTAAATTGAAAATGAACATTATGTTGGAGAAACTTGTTAGAGGTTGGTGCCGATTTACACAGTGCAAGATTTGTTCTCTGAAGTGACTCTGACAATCGACTGGCAACTTCATTTGCTTCTTTGGGTCACATGGTAGTTCAGAGTACATGTAACTCACTCATTGCCTTGTCGAGATCCAAGGGCCTCTGGATGCGGATGCTGGATGGTACTGTTTGCTCGATGAGACCGTCCAAACTCTGTAAAAATATAAGTGATAGGATATCAGACTGTTAACAGCAAGAATATACAGTGTAGCTGGTTGTAAGCATCACTGACGGAACGAAAACACTCTGAAGTAAGCCAAACTTTCATTTTCAAATACATACGACTGAATGTGCACAGTACGAAAAAAAGATCCTGTTATGTTTGTGGATTGAAACAATGAAGTTTAATGAGTTGTTTGAGGGAAAAGGTCTTGGGTTGCAAGCCAATAAATAGGTCCAAAATTGTCTGCGTGGACCGAATCGTGATTTGGAGGCTGTCAAACTCTCTGCTCTTGGAGCATTTCATGGAGCGTGGACTGGGCGGTTTGTAAAGGAGGATGGAATCTAGGAGCAGGACTGTCAGCTTGTATTTCTGAAAGTATCGGACCAAAAAGGGCACTCCAAATTGCTCTATTTTGTAATGGAGTGTAGGCATCAATTTCCAAAATGGCGATGGGCCTCTTGACTGTTTTGAGGGGTGATTTTCTCTGGGGAAACATCTTCAAAAGTCATTGGTTAGGCCACTGAAAATTGAAAGGAAAATGGAAGATGAGGAAGTGGGCTTTAATTTTCTATGTGTTTTCAACACCTGAGAAACTTGTATATTTCCTGATCTCTTTGAAGTAGGGACATTCATCACTTGTCTATGGCAGCTTATTTATTAGTCTGTAGAACAGACAACGGACATCTTGGAAACCATGTTGTTTGGTTAACTTGTTTTGGTTACAGTTGCAGAACCATTTTCAATGCGTAAATGTGAAATGAAATGTAAGGGCCTCTTGGGTGATCTTCGGTGATGGCCAAAGGCAATTATGGAAGGGGAAAAAAGGACCTAGGCAGTGCTTTGTAGAAGTACCTATTGTGAAAAACCTCACATGTCATTAATGTCTGGGAATAAACGTACATGTATTGGACAGTGGGGCCAACTCCATGAAGGTACATGTACTGCACGTGTACTTCTCAAATCCATGGTATTCAGTAATGAACAACATGAAGTCTGAAAGGTTTTCAAAACAGCAAGGTCAGTCAAGTATGAAGATCTGACGCCACACCAGTTTGAATATACAAAGATCAATTACCTGTGGAGTGCCACAAGGCTCAATTCTTGGCTCTATCCTATTTCTTATTTATATTAATGATATATGCAATTCTACCCAAAATCTAACATTCATCTTATTTGCGGATGACAGAAATATATTCTGTAGTGGGAAAAACTTAAATGATATTGTTGATCTGATAAATAGTGAATTAATAAATGTTTTTGAGTGGATGATAAGCAATAAGTTATCCTTGAACGTCAAGAAAACTCATTCGATGGTTTTTACAAATCGAACTGTGGACAAAACATAAAGATTCATTTCAGTGGTAATCATATATTGCAAATGTTGATTCCTGTACATTTTTGGGTGTCATTATTGATGATAAACTAACATGAAACATCACTGCCAGAAAATTCTTACGCTTATTTCTTGCAATCTTGGTGTTCTTAGAAAAATTAACCATTTTATCCCCTCTCATATTTTGCTTTCTATTTATAACACCTTATCTCTGTCTCATCTTCAATATGGTATACTGGCCTGGGGAAATACTCATAAACTTACCCTGAGAAATTGTTTGTGATTCATTAAGGCTTATAAATGGTTCTTGCGTTAGAGATCACTCGGCCCTGTTATTTGTCAAATTCAATACCTTATCTACATGTATTTACGACCTTTACAAATACCACTTGTGTGATTTAATGGTTAAGTTTGGAAAAGGAATACTGCCTCTGAATATTAAATCTCTTTTTGCAAGAAACAATGATGTTCACAATTACAACACCAGGTCTTCAAATAAGCTTCATCTTGATAATGTTAGAACATCTATTCGCCTTTCCACAGTTAGATACCAGGGACCCCTTCTCTGGAACCAAATCAGATCTCTTTGTCCAATGACGACAATTGCAACTTGTAAAAGGCATTATAGGAAACTTTTATTAAAGGAGGCAGACAATTGAGAGAATGATTTCTTCTAAACAATGCCAAAGTTGTATTTGCATATTCTTAAACCTGTAATTAGGATTTTGTGTCGTTGTATACAAGTTAGCTATTTACTAACTTGAACTAATGAAGACCTTCGCACATTATTCTGTATTATTTATTTTGATAGTTGTTTCTCTCAAGAATTGTAAATTTACATGTATCATCTTTGCAGGGGGCAGGCCCCGTACAAGCTTTGGCTTTTTGTCCGACCTCCCTCCATACTATTTAATTTATTTTCATTACCTGATATTATTTAAATTGTGTATATAACGGGAAATAAATAAACCAGACCAAACCAAGCCTCAAAGTAAAAGGTCATACAGTGAGCTCTTGGAACTCTTGTGCATTCCCCCTGTGGGGATTTTACATGAAGTCGTCCTATCACATCCTGTCACAGCAGAAGGATTCCTTATACGGAAACTACATCAAGAAACACTCCAGTCAGAATTTTACTTTTGTGTCCCTCGAGTAATAGTTTGGAAAAGCCACCTTGAGATGGTAAAAAAAAATGAATTTCATGAATGACCTTTCCCTATGTGTCGGTGTCCTTGCTCTTGGGTTTTTCTTACATCCTCTGCTTCCTCCCTTTGAGCTCATCTCTCAACCTACTTTTTTTTCGTACCATTTCAAAGCCAGGGAGGGGCCGATTCTGACCCCACCCCTGAAGGACTCTGCCGTCCTATGCCTGACGTTTTTTCAAACATGCATGTAATGACGCTCATTGTTAGTACAATGCACAGTTTCAACTCGATCCAACTTGTGGTTTTGCCATTATGGCTGTTTGAAGTTCAAGACCATGAGCCAGTCAGCGCGCATGCATCAAAATCCTCAACTTATACCCATAGGATCTTGGAGGATTTGGACTGATTAGGGTAAAAACAAAAATTGTGAAGGGCACCGTTAGGTTGGTACAGGGCTATTAATCATAACATGTGCAGAGACTGTGTGGAATCATGCTAGAGAAATGGGAGATTGATAGCACCAGATACTGGATATTGCATAACGGCAGCTTGGCATTGTTAGCTCTTATTTGCACAGAGGCGTTCAGGCGAGGTCATGGATGAGCGAAGGACACCCTTGACTGAATACATGACAACATGAGAAGGCCTTGATGCATGCAACCTTGCTTTCCTGCCTTCCTGGCCTTAGTCTTCCCGCTGACCCAACTACATGTATGGCATTGGTTTCACCTGTGCATGCTGTTGGGACCGGTGAAACTGCAATGCTGCAGCTGGGCTGGAACAGCTATCATAAAAAGTTAGCTTGAGTCATCTGCCAACCTGTTTGAAGTATTGCGGCTACAATAGGAGGGAGCTATTTGAAGTGGGTAAATGTGCTGCCCATATACACAATGTATGTTACTCTGGCCAATCTACATTGTAGCACCTACATGTTGAGTTGGAATCATCCGAACTGTAGTTCGGACCAATGTACGCCATGTTAGAGGGATGAAGTCTCAACAACTAGGGCCGTTTTCCAAAACTCAACTTTGGCTCCGTCTCAGGCTTCAACGGTTTTTTTTACTACCTGACTTTGAAGTTGAAAGTTCAATAGTTAGTCTGATAGCGCCACAAAATAGCAAGTAATTAAAATGCAAAAGAGCCAAACTTTACAGTACACGTACTTCAATTTAATTTTTCATTTCAGACCCACAATCGGGGATTAGTTTCAGAAACAACGCCTGAGACAGAGACAAATATGAGGAATGGAAAACGGCCTAGGATCCTGCCTAGGGCTCTACTTATCAATCTTCCATGATTATCAGTTGTTTGGGTGCCACCTACTGAAAGACCGTATCAAACATTAAAGATTGTGACAAATCTAGAGGGTTCCAGGTACTTGACCTACATGTACATGTAGTGCAGCTGTCATTGTAGCATGTCATCAGTTCAAACTGTAACTGCGACAGTAGGGCTTCAGTTGGGCTGGCCTGACCCTACAGTAGCTGGCAAGCTTCTCTGGGAAAATTTCTGGATCTTCTTCAAAGTTTTTGTGGTTAACTGCTGACACATTTCATCACCGATGACACAAGCAAAACTACATTCTGCTGGCATGTGTTAAACAGGCGAATGAAATTTTGCTGGGAAAAGAGCTGCGTATCTGGCCACCGCTCACCGTACTTACTTCAATTTGAACACTACCAACAAAAATTGAGTAAATTTGATTAAGGAAAACTAGATTTTGTAAGGGGAATTTAACAACTTTTTCTGTTATGGCCCGAAGACAATATGAGGTCTAAGGTGGTGGATATGGAAATCTTTCTGGTGTTGGCACGTGGCTCACATTTGCATCCTAGGCCATGGTTGGGATGGTACATCCCAGCTAGAGTCGGAACAGATGATGTACCTGGTAGGGACATCAGGCAATTTGACTGTTAATACCAACTCAGCCCAAACAACTCAACTGTTGAGGAAAAACTCAACCGGAGGGACAACACGACCATTTGCCTGGCCATGCGTTAAAAGACAAGTCAACTTTGACAATGACGCAGCTTGACTGTGCATAGTGTTTACATGTTTGTAGCTAACAGAGTGTGGGGCATTCAACATCTGGGTTGCCGGTTGATGTGAAGCAAAGACAAGTCACAGCAAGGTGCCATGCATGGTGGCACGGGGTGCCATGCATGGTGGCACAGGGTGCCATGCATGGTGGCACAGGGTGCCATGCATGGTGGCACGGGGCGCCATGCACGTTGTACAGGCTTACGAGATGCAAGTTTTCAAGTTTCTTCGGCATTATATCCAAACTTATGGACCCTGCTGAGTATACACGTAATAGCAGAAGCAGAGGAAGAAGCACTGATGACGAGTTGCTAATCTGCCAGCACAAACCCCTACCTTAAACATGTCAGCAGTGCTTTAACAAGTTTAAAAATTATGACGGTATATGGTTTCAAGCAACTCTAGCCCTACTTAGCCCAGGTGTTTCATACAACAGATCATGGAAAGAGTTCCATGTGTATGGACAACCCTAATTTTCCCTTAAAATGTTATAACAGTCATTAGAAAGTGATAACATGTTTTCCAATGAAAACTTTGACTACCAAGCTTCATAAACCCACTGCAGGCTGGCCCACATGCACCCACACACACACACAAGGAAGTCAACTTGTCTCAAGGGATGACTACATGATGTAGTATATTACATTAGATCAACAGACCGTCAAGTCGTCCCATTGGTCATGCAAGTCGAGCTGTCCCACATGAAGTTGGCAAATGGTTGAGTTATCCACCTTCTATTACTGGCATAGGTCTACATCTAAGTTACAGTACAGTTACGTCATCGGAGGTAAATGGGGTGAAAAGGTCCTTGAAGTAAAATAAAGTTTTAACCACTTACATCGGGATGATGTGTACACACACGCAATTTTCCTTATTTGTTCCATGGAGGACGGTTATACTCATTTAAGAATTCCTCCTTAATTTCTGCCATTGACATATTAATGTGGCATGCTTGGTTGGGTCAAAGAGATTCCCTGCTCTATGGTTGGGTCAAAGCAAAATTGCAAGGTTGAAGAATTTGCGGGGAAAAAAAAGTCCCCAGCAGCTCCTTCAGTTCAGGTAAGAAAATCCGACATGAACTGGTACGAGGTTGGGAATGTAAAAAATAAAACAAACATTGTTTGTAAAACGCACCTCGGCTCCAATAAATGAGAGCATCTCACTAATGTCCGCATCATTTGGCCCGATATGGCGATCAGGGAAGTAATCATGTCTCTTGTACACTCTATCGAGTTTTCGCGACTCGCTGTCTGTTGACTGGGAACAGTTTTGCTGACAGCGGTATACTTCCATTTGTTGCGCCCATCTGGGATGGCGGGTATTAGTACAGCCAAGGACACAAGTCGAGGGTACAGAAGTCTTTGATACCAAGCTGGAGTACTTCTGCTTGGTTATGTTGCTGAAGGCAGTCCTCTTCGGCCTCTCCGCCAGCGTCAAAGCGCGGGCATGGCCGAGTCGCCCCAATCGAAACATGCTGAAGACTTTAAATTCTCACGTCTGTTTCAGTAAATGCTGAACTAGGTGATGACAAATAAGTGGCTGGATGGAGGCTGCTCGGTTCAGAGTTAGTAATATCAGCTACTTTCAAATTCTGTCGCCTAGATCATCGGCGAACATTCTGCTCATGTTATAACACATAATGCATGTCATGGCGATGATGGCGAGCGCTAGAGTGACGCATTATCTTCTGCCTTGTGTAGTACAGTGCGCATAATGTTGTTGTTGTCGCTGAACTCCAATACCATCTGATTGGAAAAGTACTAGGTCAAACTCAACCTTGTGCTCGAGCAGCATAAACATCTACGATACAACCACATTCGTGAACACAGTCATGACAACTCTGAGAAGGAGAAAAGATATTAACGTCATCAATTGGTACCCACCCAACTTATACATTGGATGTCGTTGTGAAACCAGTTTTGGTTAGGTAAACATACGTCATGACACACCCCCATTCGTAAGCCAATGGTACGTCGTGTCACTAATTCCTGCCGCTTGGCGGCGCAAGAATAAGGGTCCGAAACATTGAAAAAAAAGCCCGGGCTGCTCCCGTATGGTGTACTATTTACGACAAATATTTCTCTCTCTTTAGCCTCCCTCCAGACGACGCAACTACACGACGCGACGGCACGACGGCTCCCTTGCGTCGTGCCATCGGGTCGCACCGTCGCCTTCTTGCCATTGCTTTTGTGACGCGTCGCGTCGTGCGTCGCGTCGTGCCGTCGCCCATCGCGTCGTGCTGCCTTAGGTCCTTTCCACGTTGCATTTTTTGCCGCCTAAACGTCGCCCCTTCCGCCCCTCCCTCGCGTCGTACCGTCGTGCGTCGCGTCGTACGTCGTGTCGTACCTCGCGTCGCCTGTTACGTCGCCTGAAGCACGACGCGACGCACGACGCGACGCGTCGTGTGCTGTCGCCCTTTGCTTTATGGTGTTGATAGAGGGCGCCTTTACTGTTTTCTTTCATTTCTGTCCCCCGTGCTTGCAAAGTACACGCTATCTACTCTTTGGTGTTGATTTGTTCATTCCTCGATTACGATTAATATCTGTCATATTTTATTAAGAAAAAGAAAAAAGAGCAAAAGGAAAATCGGCATATGTAGGAACTGCTCTCTCATAATAAGTGGAAGCCCAGAATTCGTCACCGTCTTTAAACCCAGCCAATGATTTCTTTTTAATTTCTTTTCTTGTCGATGCAGTTCCCATTTGTGGTAGATTTGTAATCTTATAGATACCGGTATTTTTCCGTTGTCCATCCCGGTAATTTCTAAGTAGTACTCCCGATTCCCCATACAATTTGTCTACAATTGTATGACCGCAAGTTTGACCACGTGTTTAGGAAGTTACCACCGAGCCTGCTCTATAAAACCCTCAGAATATTCCCTCTTAGTCTTCCTTCAGGCCAGTCTTCCTCGTTACCTTCATCAGCACCACACTTTCAATGATATTAGTTGGTGTTTCTAAATAAAACATTATACAGACGCTATTATCATTGTGGTCGTGTCATTGTTTTTCAACTCTGTTGGCCACACACATGTATAATTTCTCCTCTGATCCGCATCTTACATTAGCAAGCACGTTTTAATGATTGATGTGTTGTATCTTAGAATAGATTTTGAAATATTGTAGCGGACATAATATGAGAATCATGATACCTGCTTACATTGTTTATTTGTTTACTAGTTTAGGCCTTTTATTATCAGCTAACCAGTGAGAATTAATTCGTTTCCGGCTAATATAGTGAAAAGTTTTCGCACGGCTTACGAAAATACAAATACCCTCACGTTAGAGAAAGCATCTTTTTAATAATGAGAAGAAAAAAAACCCCAGGGATTCAATTTAACAGAAAAACATTGTGAAAAATAGATATGAAATGAAAATAGATAAAGGGCCTCGCTTGAAGACCATCTATTGCTGAAGTTGGGGACGACTTGGCTTGTCTTGACTTGGCAAATAGCTGTAGAGCTTGCAGTAGAAAGGCTTGCAGTAAAAAGAACTTGAATGGATGGCGAAGATGTGTTGGGCTATCTGATGTTTAGGGTTCAAGTGCACAGTCTTTCCTTCCCCTTGACTAAATCAGGCTTCAGAACGGAATTCATGTGGCTCTGGTCCAGGCCACCCGCTGTCCAGCAACGTATGCATGTGTAGTTCAATAGGCTTACACGGGTAATGTTTTTGCTTGGAGCAGGACAGGGACGAATTTGTTAGTATGGCAGGTTCGATGGAAGAAGAAATCACAGAGAGACAACAGAACAGTCTCTGTTCAGTCCAGTAGCCAAGTGAAGTGGAAGGTCACTGGCTAGGGAAGTTATCAGCTCCTTCAAGTCAAGGACTCTTGTGGCTGGTTGCAAGTTCTGCTACCAACTGCCCACACGCGCTGCCAAGCAATCCACACAAATTGTGTGACCTAATTCTGGGGGAGTTAGGATATCAAAAAGTGGGGGAGCAAAATCAATTCTATTACATAATTATTAGGAAGATCAAAATTAGAGCAGGAAAAGTTAAAACAACGTTGTGGCTCATGTTATTTATTTCCTGAAGACAAGGCTGATAGTTGGTCGTGACGCTCTTTCTAATCACATTTGGTTAAAAAAACAAACCTTTTCTTCAACAACTCACTCTTAACGAAAACACAAAGTTAGAAAGTAGCCATGAAAAAGAACAATAACAGAAACAAGACCTGCTACCTATTTTCTCTTTGTACGCTACCGCCATAGGCATGCAGAGCCTCGATCTGGTAGCTTTTTCCGTGTATGTTAGCAAGTAATTTTGGGCGTGATGTTGCGTTAGTTCTTCTACCATCTATACTGTACGATTGGACAATATTTCAAAAGCTGTCAGTTCAAGGCTCTGCATGCCCAATGGCCTCAGCGTACAAAGAGCAAATGCCATGTCCTGGATGCATGCAGTCCACTATTCAAGTAAGAATTTCTGCTCAGCTCCTTGGCATTAAAGGTAGCAGCCCAGCATTTTTCTGAAAAAAAAAGGAGATTGTTTGGCCCCCGAAATAGTGAGATTTTGTAAATCGTTGCCAGGATCAACTGCCTGGGTCTTTGAGCTATCCTATGAGAGCAGAATGGCTAAAAACTACAACTGAAAAATGGTAATGCCCAAGAAGGTTGAGGGTTACCACTTGAAAAATAGCTGCAATCAGACTACAATCAAGACGGAATATTCTGATTGTATTATAGAGCAGGCTCGGTGGTAACTTCCCGTGGTCGAACTCGGCAGTCATACAATTGTAGACAAATTGTATGGGAAATCGGGAGTACTACTTAGAAATTACCGGGATGGACAACGGAGAAATTCCGGTATCTATGAGATTACAAATCTACCATAAATGGGAACTTCATCGACAAGAAAAGAAATTAAAAAGAAATCATTGGCTGGGTTTAAAGACGGTGACGAATTCTGGGCTTCCACTTATTATGAGAGAGCAGTTCCTCCATATGACGATTTTCCTTTTGCTCTTTTTTCTTTTTCTTAATAAAATATGACAGAAATTAATCCTAATCGAGGAATGGATGAGATAAAAACAAGAACAAATCAACACCAAAGAGTAGATAGCGTGTACTTTGCAAGCACGTGCACGGGGGACAGAAATGAAAGAAAACAGTAAAGGCGCCCTCTATCAACACCATGAAGCAAAGGGCGACATCACACGACGCGTCGCGTCGTGCGTCGCGTCGTGCTTCAGGCGACGTAATATGTGACGCGATGCACGACACGACGTACGACGCGACGCACGACGGTACGACGCGAGGGAGGGGCGGAAGGGGCGACGTTTAGGCGGCAAAAAATGCAACATGGAAAATACCTGAGAAGCAAAGCGACGCACGACGCGACGCGTCGTGTGTGTACAAAAGTAATGGCAAGAAGGCGACGGTGCGACCCGATGGCACGACGCAAGGGAGCCGTCGTGCCGTCGCGTCGTGTAGTTGCGTCGCCTGGAGGGAGGCCAGAGAGAGAGAGAAATGTTTGTCGTAAATAGTACACCATACTCCCCGCTCCTAACAGGCGCAACGTCGCTGCCAGGGTAGCAATTTTTCTCACAAAAGACGCTCGGGAATCCCCTACTCGAATAAAAGCTAACATAACGGCTCTCTAGGACTTTTTAAGGAGTACTCTTCAACAGGGAAGCTTCCACAAGGCGTGAAGAGTGGTCTCCGCTGAATTAAGACTAGCAAAGAACTTGAAACCATTTTCCGTAGGAAAGTACGTAGTGTATCTAAGGCAGAATAAACTGAACGCGCTGCTCCGGCGGGGACGGAGGGGTGAGGCGGAGGATTGTTTTGTTTTTTTTTCCCGCCTTTAGGCCGCCCTTCTCATCCTAACAGCAAAATTTTAAAAAATGTATCCTGCGCCCGACTCAAGTACCTCCATGGGAAAATAAGTCTCTTTATTGAAAAAAAATATGACACCGTCGTGCGTACTTTAATATCCAGCTCAGCTGCGTTTCCAGTCTTTTGTTTTTGTTTTTTGCGCCCGGCAAACTATGTCGAGTTTTGCCGATATTTTCGACATCGGTAAAGCCCAGGTCGCTCGCTGGGCATTCGAGTTGCCCTAGGAGACTTTGATTCCCCTTCTAAAAACCCTGTTACTTTACTTCAATCCCAGGTATTAGTGTTAGTTATAGCGTAAGCTGCAACTGATAAAAAGCCATAACATTAATAATTTAGTGTCATCAGACCAGGTGCAGAAATAATTGAGTTCAGCCTTAAACCCCGGTGAGGGAGAATAAGTATCAGTGGTAGCAACATTAATCGAGGCTACTGAAACGCTTTAGGGTGCACTGTCTTAATACAATGTACAGGAATACGGAAGTTTTTTTTTAAACTGTGTGATAATTAACTACGTGAAATTTTCACATATTAGTGATAAAGACGTGTCCAGAAGTCATTAAGATTTGTCTTCGATTTTATGACGCAAACACTCAAAACAAAACAAACCTAGGACCAAAACGCTGATCAAGGATTTGAATTGAATTGGCGGGGGGGGCAAAGTGGCGATTTTAGGAACTTCGATCGCCCACATTTTGGTTCACAAAAAGTAGAATAATGTCCTGGAAAGGTGTAATTTGTACCGTTTCTAAAGTGTTAAATTATTGGTGGTTCCAGTCAAATGTTAAAAAATCGATGCCCCCCCCCAAAAAGCAAACAGAATAATTGGGTGGAAACTTTGGAATTAATTTTTAATGTGAAACGAATATTTTCGAATGCAAAACTCAACAAATTTAGATAAACATTTTAACTCACCACTCTCGAACGGAGGAGAGCAAAAAAAACAGGATTTTCTTTTAAAATAACCTTTTTTGGACCTTTCAGAGAGGTGAGGCTATATGCCTGGGCTATTTACACCGCATATACGAGGGGGATGAAATAGACTCTCAAATTTCTCTCATACAAATAATGTCCGTTCCTTTTTAAGAGGAATGGCTCCCGTTGGCCACTCTGGATCCGCCCTAACACAGGCTTGACCAGGAAGAAATTAGTCGGGAGCAATCTATGCCAAAATAAAAAGTTGATGTAATTTTTCTTTCCAGAAGTTACGTTCGTTCCACCTTTGAAATGACTTGCATCTTTGTAATGTTTACCCCCCATGCAAGAAGCGTGTGAGCGGTGAATGCATGACGTTGCAGTTTTTGATTGCATCACTCATTCATAATTGTAACGCCCCACGTGATCTCGTGTAGTACTTGTACACACAATATAATGCGTGTGCGCCGCACCGGCCGGCATCTGCGTGTACACACATACGTTACGTTAACAGCCGATCTCCATCAGTTCATATCGTCACTGCACTGCTGCGTTTTATCAATTGTTCCACCATATGCCAGAAGTTTCCGTTTTACACGACGACTTCGACATTTTGTAGCAGACCACTGAAGCAGTTTCCACTTGAGTCGCGATCAGTCTCACGATGAATGGGCCAAACGCAGAGTATTCGGCGCAGAAGAGGAAGACCACTTTCCCCGGCTTTGCCACAGCAGCCATCCACGCCGGCCAGGACCCCGAGCAATGGGCCTCGCACGCCGTGACGCCGCTGATCTGCATGTCGACAACATTCAAGCAGTCTGCCCCAGGAGAATTGAAAGCGGTATGTCGGCGAAGTAGCCTTTTAACTATTACTCATGGTCCAGGGAGTTAGATCGGTTTTATCTTAGACCTGGAGTAGCCTTTTTTCTCCTCCAACTTCCAAGTTCATCCAAGGTGGTTCAACATGTTCACGTTAGCACACTGTGCACTCGGCACAGTGTGAATCAGTTTGATGGAGACTTGCTGTTGTTGATCAGAGAACATTAACATAGCTTTGAAGCTGTGTGATGTTTTTCACTTGGTGAGGCTGGTGGGTGTAACTGTGTGATATTGGACGTTGTTTCCAGAGGGCGAGGGGTGCATGGCACCCGAGATATTAAAGGCAGAGCCTAGGGTGTCTTGTGTGTCTGTAAGGCCAGGGATGAATTCTTAGATCCTGCAGCACATCAGCCTTGTCAGCGGCAGTCAACAGATCTACGGTTTTTATGACACACGAAAGAATTACTTTTAATTTGTCTGAATTTCCCTGACAGACCTGAACAGGTGCCAAAATGTTCTTTGCGGACCTGCATCGTATTCATCGCGCACACAACTGATGTGCTGAAGGCTGTGAGCATGCTGTGCATTTTGACATGGGGGATACATGAACACAATGTACATGTATGCATATTTAAGATGACATTTGAATGGTGTACCAGATGTCATTTTTCTGAACTTGGCACATGACCGTTCTGCAATGTCACAGTATAGCAAGGGCTATTACAGCCTAGTCTGTTCATTTATATGGAGGCACAGGATTTCTGTTCCGACAAACATCACTTATTTCCCTTGCAGAGGTCATAAGCTGTCAGAAAGTGATAACAAGTCCTAATTCATCAAATTAGCAGGGAAAATATTGAAGCATTTCACTTAGAAAACACTCACAATTTTTCAGACCAGTCTCTTAGTCTTAGGTTTATGCTTGGGGGTGGCAAGTGATGTGCATGTAATAGAAATATTTCCTCTTTTTCATTTGGAACACTTCTAAAATGTGAATGATTTTGGTGAATTTAGCCTTTTGCAAGTTAAATTTGAATAAAAACTGGTACACTGAGTTCTTTTAATTTAGGTGAAGCTAACAGTTTAATTTCCATACAAAAGACACTTTTGCTGTACCTTTTGATTTGGGGCAGGCTTTTGTTTAGTTACGGAAGAGACGCCTTGCACCAATACTCTGTTTTCAATGGATGAGAAGGACACAAAGGAACCAGTCCATTCCAGAGATGGCGGTGGCTATGCAAAAGCTTGCCCGGAATCACGAGGTGTAGCAACAGTGTCTGGTTCCGGCCATTTTGAAGCAGCATTCGAAACCACATGTTCAAGCTCTGACTAAAGCAGCGAAACTGAAGTCTAAGCTGAATCCGCTCGTTTTGAAAATGCTTTTTTCTCTTTCAGACTGTGTAAAATTTGAAATACAATTCAGTTCATTACCAGCGTGAAAATGCTTTTTGTGCCTGACATAGATCAGCGGCATTGCAGTGGTCGAATTTTGCAGGTAGTTGATCGATAACAATATCCCAGTGCCCTTGAATTTTTTTTTGTTACTGGCATGCATGACTGCGCATGTACATGTATGTGTAGCATGACTGTATTGGCAGCGAACCTGAAACATGTCGCTTATATTCATCTGTGTAGGCCTTGATCTAAAGTATCTATTCCTTCCTATTTCCTGTTTCACTGTACATTTGATGTTACTGCCATATGTAGAGATTTACCTTTGATGTTTTACATTTGACCATAAGATTGTTGTACAAGATATTTTATCAATCATGAATTACTCGTGTACACTGATGTGCATTATGCTTGATCTCTTGTGGTACAGGGACATGTAAGGTACACGGTGCCTACGCCACTGGCTGGCATCGGAGTCTAGCTTGCGTCATCACATTGTCACAGTATGCTGCGTTAACAATCATTCGTTCACACTACATGTACATGTATATGCCTAAAGCTTCCATTTTATCGGATGATGATTTCAACACTTTGGAGCCATGGAAGCAGATTCGACTTGAGCACCATAGCTAATCATGTAGTGGATACACTTTTTGAACCCGAGACAAATATGATATATTAATGGCACATACATTTATGTTGCATGACAGATCATTAGGCATTAATTACAGGTTTCAATGTATATATCTGTGGTTACTTTAAGCGTTCCGAGCAAATATAGTGCATATACCAGCAAGACGAAAGACAAATAGCAGGTCTTGATTGATGCCCATATTCCTTATTTGTGGCATTGGAAGTTGCATACATTTCAAAAAGATTGGGTCGGGAAGCTTAAAACTTCAAAATAAATTTGGTATTACACCATTTAAGTTGGACACATTTACGCAATCAGAGACTTCATCAAGGATTGCAACACTGTGCACCTTACATATACATACAATAAAGTGTTCCCCCCCCCCAGCCATTGTGTTTGTGGTTTTCACACTAAATGGATACACATCAACTGAACCACAAAGTATTTTAACTTGGGGGGGGGGGAATTGGCTATAGCTTTTCAATAGTGCTTCTAACTTTGGGGATCTACACATGGTGTGGGTAGGTTTAACCACTCAGGTTAAAGTACTTCTCACTTTATTTCTTTGTCAACTACTATAGGATTATACCTGATCAGAAGAAGCATTGTTGTTATGTCTGGCCAGAATCAATTCTCTTTGAAAATTTGCCTTCCTTATAGTAAAATGACACAAAAGCACATCCGCAAGTAACCCTGAGTCTTGTATATGAATACCTGGTAGAAACCCTCTTCGTGCAGCTGCAGTGCAGCCGACAGACATGTTATGTAACAATTATAAAACTAGGCTGACAAGTGTTAGGCCCTAGCTCTTTGGTTAGGCCTACTCTGAAACTTTCAAGGGTTAGGCCCTAGCTCTATGGTTAGGCCTACTCTGAAACTTTCAAGTGTTAGGCTCTGCCCTGCAAGGATGAGAAAGCCATGGCAAATGGTCTGACATTAATCCAGAGAAGCGTTAGATTGCCGGTCGTCTGCTGTGCACATGTAAGCTGATTGAGCATGGTGCAAAAGTCATCTCTATTTGAGCAAGGCTACTTAAATCATTTTGTACTCAGAGGAATGTAACCAGTAACGATGTGATTTGCATCAACTCAACGCTGGGCAAACTTCTGCCGACTGAAGGGATTCTTTCTGCATCAAGTGTCATTCAGTCATTTTGAAAAGTACTGACTGGGGGCCCTCAAAATATGCATAAATATCTGAATTTCTGTGCACACCGGCATCAGTAAAATATATAAAAGCCAGGTATGCAGCAAAAAAAAATCCGCTTATCTGGAGCAAAGCTTTGCTGATTGAATATCACAGGCTGACAGACATGTTGATTGTATTCACTCTTTCACAGTTAAATGAACCAGTCACTTCAATGAAAAGTTTACGCATGTCAAAAGACATCACTAGATCATCTTCAGTAGACTTTTACACCGTGACCTGGTCCAAACTTTATCCTTTGCTTGTACAGGCAGTTAGCAGGATTCATAACAGTAGGTGGTGCGTGGGCGTAGCGCTGTGTTCTGTTATCTCATTGGTTGAGTCATGAAGGCACACCTCCACTTGGAATGGGGTGATACTGGTGGGACAGGGAACTTTATAAAATGAGCCAAAGGGCAACCTTTGCATTTTTTGTGCAGTGACATTGTATGATACATTTTTATGTGGACAGTGTGCATGTATGTGTACTGATACTGTACACATGTACATGTACACTGTATATTGTCTTGTTTTCATGTGTTTTTTTTTGTCTTTTTATTCCTGTAAACCAATTTTTAAACTACCTTTTTACTTTTGAAGCTTTTAGGTTTAACTAAAATGTAACTGAATGTTGAAAAAAGACACAGTTACATCTCAAATCAATATTATGGAATTCTGTATGTGTTCCTGTTGGCTTTCTCTTGACATATGAAGCATAAATATGTATCAACATGTCTACTGCTTAAACAGCGTATGATTTTGGATATTTCCAATATTTGCTGGGTCACTTTTAATAGCTGGTTGCCTGGTTGAATTATTGCACCTCGGAATCTATTGTGTTGCAGAGGACCACTGGTTAAAAACGAGAAATGTGGCTTGTAAAGTCCATGTTTAGAAGTAATTTACCCTTTGGTGTGCATCGGTCAGTATAATGTAATCTGGAGGGTTTTTACCTCATGTACCATACATGTATATCCTGCCTCGGAGTTGATTTACAATGATTACACACCCCAGATATCTGTTATTACATGCTTCACCAAATTTATCACATGGCTCGTCAAATGTAAATTGTAGGGGTTGCTTTTTGTCTGCGGGAAGGAGAAACTTGTTTGCATATTATCTTGACATTTGTCCTGCACAAAGTCATATTGAGATTTGTTGTAAAATTGTAAGAGTGGTTCTGAAACACACAAGATAAGTCATGCATGGAATTAACATTTATTCATCATTATTTCTGTGGAACTGTAGGCTCAAAATGTGCTGAATTTCAGAGTGGAGAAGAAAAACAAAAAGAATCTTGTCATCCTCGAAATAATTCAGTTTGCCATTTAGCCTTAGGTTTTTCGGGGGGTTATGTTTGTCTTTTCTTGACTTGGAATTTAGCACCTATCCCCGTAAACCCTTCATGCAACTCCTTGAAAAGTCTGACTCTTTCTTGACTTGGAGAATGGTTTTCTCCTCTCTACCAGGGGTATGAGTACAGTCGAGGGGGCAACCCTACCCGGAAAGCCCTAGAAGAATGCATCGCAGCGTTAGATGGTGCCCAATACGGTAAGGCAAAAAACCCACTTGATGTAGTTCAAAGAAAAACCTCTTCTCAAAAATCCACAACCTGTTTCATGTTGAATTGTTGAAACTATATATATGTATTCCTGTCAATGAAGAAACACAGAGTTATAGAGTTATCTATGACTGCCATTTATGCGACACTTTCTTGACACATACCCGGTACTTATGACTTTGCCTCTAACCAAATGGTTAATTCACTGAACCAGTTTCCAGAATAAACTATAAATTACATGTACAGTGTACATGAAAATCTAGTACTTTTTACAACATATAGGCCGTTTTCCAATACTCAACTTTGGCTCCGTCTTGGGCTCCAACTTTTTTTTACTGGCTGACTTTGAAGCTGTAAGCGCACTAATTAGTCTAATGGTGCCACAAAACATCAAATAAGATGCAAGAGAGCAAAAACTTAAAGTATTCCAATTTGATTTAAATGCTTCAGGCCCTCAATCTGGGATTGGGTTCGGGGACGAAGACGAAGAGATGGAGACAAAGTTAGGTATTGGAAAACGGCCATAGATTCTGACAAGGGGAGTATTTTTTTCTCGAAAGCAGCCATTCAATTGTTATTTTGAAATTAAATGTTGCTTTTGGTCAGGTATAAGCAACAACATTTGTTGTAAAAAATGGAATCTCGGGGAGCAAGTAAATGAAATAAACCTTCACTTTTTTTTGTCCGCACCAACCAGGTTTGGCATTTGGGTCTGGCCTTGCTGCCACGACTGCCATTTGCCAGATGCTTAAAAGCGGCGACACCCTGGTGTGCATGGACGACCTCTACGGGGGCACCAACCGATTTTTCAACCGCATTCTGGTCAATTCCGGCGTGAAAATCAAAATGGTGGATGCCAGCAAGGTGGCGTTGGTAGAGGCGGCTATTGATTCCAACACAAAGGTGAGAAGTGTACAGCATCATGAAAACATTTATTGGAACTCCACGAATGAAATTAATGCAATACCGCTGATACTGTACAGAATGGCCTTTTTTATCTAGTCTTTGAATTTCACTACTTCATTTTCGCTTCTACTTTTACACCCTTGGTTCTGTATGATTATTAATGGAGTAGAAACCACGCTGCATTCTGGTATATCATTCCAGACACCACCAATTTTTTTTTCTGATTGTGTCCTTCATACTTATGAGTTACTTATTTGTTATCAAACTGGAATGTTGTGTGCAAAATGATAACAGCTTGCCGTTGAGACCACTTCTGACGTCTGTTCTCTTCTTAGCTGATTTGGATTGAAACCCCTACCAATCCCACGCTGAGGCTGGTGGACATAGAGGAAATTTGTAAGGTGGCTCATCTTCACGACATCATCGTGGTTGTCGACAACACCTTTGCTTCGTCCTACTTCCAGGTAAACCCCTGGCCGTTTCTGCTCCCCATCTTGATTCTGTTATGATACCGGACGTATGTTAACCACTTTGGGGTGTTGTCCAACCAAGGGCAGACGTTGTTGGACAAATAGAATGAGGGAAATATAAAGATAAATGTTTCTAGCACAAACGATAAAGAAAAGAATTTTGGCATAAGAAAGAATAAAACATGTCTCATTGGTTTGTTTAATTATTTTTTGGACAATGATAAGGCTTACACTCTATTGATTTTGGAATAATATCGATAAACCCTGATAATCTATAAATGTTGCCGGCATAAGGGATTAATATTGACAGGTTTTTCTGTAAAGAAAAAGAATTAATTCCAAATTGTGATTGCATCAGCCCGGTTTTACAGAAAATTGTTTTCTGTTCCAAATTGGTGGGAACTAGCTTGATTTCGTACAAGGTGGACATCGTGTTACCTGTTAATGAATTACCTTTGCGCTGCTCAGCAGTCGATTGGCACGGTTCCAGAATTTGGAAATTACTGAGATGGCAGCTGTAATTTGTTGCTTTTTGAGGATCAAAAGTCCAGCTTTCTGTTTGTTGTGGCCCAACTTCATGTAAATGTGAAAAAAAGTTGGGAAAAAAACCTGAAATACTGAAAGTGACTCGAAAAAATGATCTCGTTCATGGTGGAAGGCAGTTAGATAAACATATGGTCATTGTAACGGATGTTTGTTTTACCTTGAAAAAAGGACATCATATTGATACATGCATTTTTATGACATTTGTAAAACAGGCATTTTACCTATGAATATCCAAATAGATGTTGTTTATGTATCTTGATTATTGAGAAGTTGTGAATAACTAGGAGGTTTCCTTTTCGTTTCTCTGTTGTAATCTTTCTACTTGAAATAAATTGTAAATCTAGCAATCTACAAAGTAAAAACATAAACACATGATTCACATTTTACTCTTACAGCTAGGTGGATACATTTAATCCACTGTCTCAGTAATGTTTTTTTTTTTTTTTTGGTGTTGTACTAACGTCCCTTGTTTGCCCTGCTGGGAAAATCTGCCCAAAATTTGTGTTGCGCATATAAATTGTAATTTAAAGATTTCATGTGAATGAAGCCATTCATTTACAGCCCCAACAGTAATGGATTTTCGTGGAACACCGTGCAGGCTTTCTTGTACATACGGTATTTAAAAGAACCCTGGATTCAAGCTTCACATTATGAGCATGGGAAACAGTGTTGCAGCTCTTCCAATAGAAGAAACAAATATTTTTAAATTGCACTTGTGTGTAACTATTGATGCAGCGCCCTCTAGACTTCGGAGCCGACATTGTGCTTCACTCTGCGACAAAGTACGCCAACGGTCACAGCGACGTTGTCATGGGGTTGGTTACCACAAAGCGGGAGGACATCAAAAGCAAGTTGTACTTTTTACAGTATGGTAAGTAGAATCTTCCGGTTTTTTTTGTTTTTTTTCAGAATTCATATACAGGAGAGTTTTTCCGTTACTATTGGCCAAAAGGAAATAACTCGGGTGGCTTTAAACTGCTGGTTAAATATGGCTTAAAAGCTACGGCAGTCTGTGCCACACCACACGTCCTACTCCCACTACGGAAAAGTTGGCAGGTGACACTTAATGAACCGTTCCCCAAGGACACTAAGCACCAGAATTTTTTGTTTCTTATTGTATTTCACTGGATTTCATTTTTAGCCTCTGGGGGCGTCCCCTCACCCTTCGACTGCTTCTTGGTGAACCGTGGGCTCAAGACGTTGCACGTGCGCATGCGAGAGCATGAGAAGAATGCCCTTGCTGTCGCGAGAGCGCTGGAGGCCAACCCCAGGGTGGCGAAGGTCACTTACCCAGGTAGGTCGCCCCTGAGGTTAAGGAAGAAAAACAAATCTGGCCTGGCTTGGTAGTTTTGTGAAGGACACTTTAGTTATGTCTTTTTAGAGATGTTGCGTTGTCCAGCTTAAATAGCTTACCAGCTGTGATGACTGAGACTGTTAGCCAGTTCCTGAACAGAGTAAATCTGCCAAGCAGTGCTATCCCTGGTACAGTCGACTCTCGGTAATACGAGCTAATTTAGAAAGTCCCAAGGCCCTCGTATTAACGAGAGTCGACTGTACAGCATCTGCATTTGTGTTTTTATTCTTCCTCGGTGAGTTATTTCCGGAAGGATTGTGGGAACAGACATGAAACTGCATTAATTCAAGACCAACGGATGGGTCAACCGATTGAAACCATTAGAGTAGAGTCAACATTACCCGTCTATGTTTTCCTGTGAATGTACCCGAGGGTTTTCCCCAAGTGTCAAATTTCTTTGTCGTCTCATCCCCACAGTCAAAAACAAGGTCAATTTCAAACCTGGTGAAAATTTAGAACCCACCTCATTTGTCTCTGTATCCTTTTCTTCTGTCAAATGCTCAGGACTGAAGTCTCATCCTCAGCATGAGCTGGCCAAGAAGCAGATGCGGGGCTTTGGCGGCATGGTGACCTTCCGCATCAAGGGAGGACTGGTGCAGGCCCGGGACTTCTTCAAGTACATCAAGGTCTTCACACTGGCTGAGAGCCTAGGAGGGTTTGAAAGCCTGGCTGAGCTGCCGTAAGTCTTTCCCGGTGGCAGGGTCATTGGATGGTTAAGGTTTAAGGGCTCTGTGGGAGAATTGAGGGGAGCAGTGTCGTAGTTGGGACCTGACAACTTGACAAGACCGGACAGAAGACGGTTTCTTAGGACAAGCACAAGACCGTTCACTAGACCAGGCACAGTTGAGTAGTTAACAAAAAAATGCTTTTGTTGTTTTTTTGAGTAGCTTGTGACCGGAATTTAGACCGGAAATCCTGTGAGTGGTTTTAAGAGGCTGGGTGGGCCAAGTGAGGCTAAAGTTTGGAATCAAACTGGCTGGGGCTAGGAGAAAGATAGGTGTGTATGGCAAGTAGCTGCAGGTGCTGTTTCATGGCTTTCTCATAGGTACCCGTTGTAGCCATAGCCGTTCAGATTTCTCTGCATCCCTCAGTCCCATCCCTGTTCCTCGACCCCAGTATCGTACACAATGATCATCATTTTCTTTTTTTCAAGTAACAACCAGTGCCACTCTTTTGACTTTGGCTCCTCAGTGCGATCATGACTCACGCTTCGGTTCCACCAGACCAGCGCGTGGCTCTGGGCATCGACGATACGCTCATCCGCCTCTCTGTGGGTATAGAGGACGAGGAGGACCTAGTCAAGGATGTGACTCAGGCCCTGGAGAAGGCTGTGAGTACCCTTCCACACACATCTGGGCACAGATGTATGTCTATAAGCATGCCATTCCTCGTGTGGGCCCGAAAACAAAAGATGTCCACACGAAGCATCCTTTTCAAAGGCATGGATGTGCATACTTGTATCTTGCGGAGCATTTATAAATTGCCTCGTCCTGCTACTTTTTTTTTCCTCGAACATGTTTTTTTTAAGTACGCTTTTCTTTCTCTTCACAGGTTCCGGAGTCAATGCTGTAATGTTGGACACTTCTAAATGTGCAAATTCGGATAAGCAGAGGTCAGCGTTGTTCAGTATTTAGGCATAATAAGGATGTGCATTTTTCTAATTTTTATTTGTGGTGGATTATAATGCACTGCTGATCGCACGCATTAATGAAGTATGTCATCAGTTGGCTGGAATGTGTCAGTTTTAGCAGCGGATGGCTCAGGACAAATCTTCATCTGCTGTTGTTAAGTTGTCGAAATCTTTCCCTATTGTTGAGATGGCTAGTCACTGATGGCTTGGGGTTACTTTCTTTTTTTTCTGAATTTTCGGACACACCTTTATTCCGGCCCACTTTGCCACAAGCTTTTTACTATTTATTGTTAGCTGAAAAGAGTAAAAAAACGTGGACAACAAAAAGGAAGGTAGAAAAATAACTTTGTCAGAATTTGCATTTTAAATTTCCTTAAGCTTTTGGTTTAACTCTCTCAAAATGGGGTCGGTTCCTTTGTTTTCATGTTTCTGTATTGAACAATTTCCTTTCAACCAGCAAAATAGTGGTCATCACGGACTCCATGCAGAAGTGCAGTGGTAACAGAGAAAAGGCACAGGTGGACACTTGAATACCATCGCTGCCTTGCATCTGATACCCATGTGGAGACTCTGTGGCTTTGTGCGCATTGAAATGAAATTTTTTTGCATACCTCACTCTTTACATGTACCAAAGCCCTTATTGGTAGTAGAAAAAAGTACCAGCCACTCATTTGCATGGAGTTGGAATATACTTATTTGGGTATTATCTTTATATTTAATACTGAATTACCTATTTTAACATGATGCTCTTATGCTGAAGCATAGACTAAGTTAACTTTCACCGTTACTATATTAAAAGTGTTTCAGTTCATTAAACCCACTCGTATTTACACTTAAACACGGCAGACTATCAAGGCTTAGGTATTACAGCAAGAATGTTCATGTTCAAGTTTTGTGGGTCACACCCCCACAACTTGTTATTTGAAAGTGAGATGTGATTTGCTGAATTGTATCCATTTGGTCACAGACAATCTTTTTGAGAGGGAATTGTTGCTGGATAGTAAGGCTTGTGTTACATTTGTGGTATTTGTGGCAGTGTTTTCTTGTAAAGGCATTAACCTAAATTCTTTACTTTTTCAGACTTAATTTAAGGGAGAAAAAATACCAGGCAACTATTTTATTACACATTAAAATCACTTATTGTTCATATTGAATTTATACAAAACTCTTTGTATGCAAGGAACTGTTATTATGCAATCTTCTGAACTTCTGTCTGGTGAGACAGTAACAAACGACTGAAAATATTTTAGAAGCATAGATCATTACAGAGTCACAATACATGTATATACGCGTGTTATTAACGATAATATTTTTAATATCTCTTGGTCAGAAGTTTTCCTGATTTAAAATGTATCCTTTTATCCTATTGAAATATTTAAGACACTACTATTTATGTAATGTAGAATCGGCTTGATACATGTTGCTTTATTTTCTGTTCTCTTCTTTTGTCGTAAATATGCTGTATTGACTTGGTCATTAGGATAATCACAATGAATAATCAATTGTTCTGCACAAAATATGTGGAAAAGGTTGTGTGATCTAAGCGTAATCAGAAGCAATAAAATCCTCAAAGGGATTTCCTGGAGTGAATCTGTGAAGAAAAAAAAAGGAAACTTCTCACTTCCAGGCTCTGTTATCACCGATTCCATCTTACGGACCGCTGGTATCCTTGGCGTGCTCATGTCTGGAAGTCACCATTTCTGTCGGTCGTGTTCTGATCTACTGAGCGTCTAGTCCAAAGTCTCAAATCTCAAAGTCCACATCACTGTCGCTTCGAACAGTATTGCCTCGGCAGTTCGTTTACCCATCCTGCAAATGCGCGCAATAAAGCATGTATCTAACAGAGGTTCGTTGTAACAAAACAGCGGGGAAACTAGTGGGCCAAATGGCATGCGAAGTCTTATATCTACATATAAGTGAAAACGATACAATTAAGGTTTCTCTGTGTTTCTAAAGGTGAGAAAATTACCCAACTTGATCGATAACGTTATCGAACGTAAGCATTCTACTACCTGCTTATGCCTCCTGCTTCTTTCCGTCTTCAAAATAGACTACCATTTTTGTTAAGATATTGAAATAATTGCAAGAATTGTCCAGTTTGATGTCTCTTTCCTCGGCAACGTAGCGACTGATGTTATTCAATTGGCAGATCTTTCCTCCGCGGCTTCCCCGAAGGAGATGAAAGGACTTGCATCCAGGTTCGTCTCGGCACACTGAACCACAGGCGATGGCACCCTTGGTTGAGAACTCCTTGATGACGTGACCAGTCAGGCAGTGGTTTGGGGAGCGGGTGTCGGCGTACGCTTGCAGGCAAGACATCCCTGGGGTGACCATCGGTAAGGCAGGGCTCTCGCAAATCACAAAGTAGGAAAGACTGCATGGGGTATCATCCATTTTGCCGTTGTGATCGCGCCACAAGCACACACAGTTTCCATTGTGGTAGGGCTCTCCCGGTGCCCAACTGGTGTATCTACACACCTTGCCCGCTTCACCTGAACGTACCAGCATGCCCTTCCTCCATGTGCAACCGATCCAAACATTTCCCGTGGGGACCGTGTCTGTGAACATCTCCCAAATTACCTCCCGCTCTTCCAGGGAGTCAGGTACAGACAAGGTACCGCCCATGTCGGAGCAGATTGTGGAGCCGTTCTCCTGCGGCATCTCCTTCTCCAAGAGGCAATAACTGGAATCTTGAAACCATCTCTGGTCTCGACAGATAGTTTCCACCCCGATGCTAAAGATGAACACCACCAAATATACAACGACTTTTCTCATCCCGACATATAAGTTTGACTCCTTAGAAGTTGAACTTGTGGTGGATAGCGTACTTGTGTTTCAGTTTGATGAACAACAATGCTTATACAAGATACAGATAAATAGTTTCTCCCGTTTCGTGATAATACGAATGTTAAAATGATGTTTCAAGGCATCCAATGTTGTGAGTCTCCTACCTACAACGTGACAGCATGGCATTTTACAAAAATGCTAAGTGCCGTCTCGGCGCCGTACTCGATCTGGGTGTTACTCCTTTCAATAGCAAGTCATGGTTCTGACTTTCGATCAATTAACTAACATTGTTCCGTTCGCTTGACAGACCGCCAGTGGTATGGCAGTTTCAAAACAACTGCACTGCGAAGAGCGATCGAGTTTCCAAATAAACTTGAGACAGGCCCAGTGTTTTTCAGAAACAGGACCACACGCTCGGAAGAAATTGAACGTCACGGTAATTTCTGTTGCTATAGAAACTGCAGGCTGCACTAAAGGCGGATGTTCGAGTTATAGGAGAAATAACGGTGATCCGAAACTAACCTCTTGATGAAAAATTCAAATGATGAGGTTGGTTGGAGTTTTTTATGTTGTTATTATTACAGGCCTTGGAAGCGCTGTCTGTCACAAGTGTAATTAATAGGACACGTGGGGCAAGTTATGATGTATATTTTCATAGAACTCTTCATCTGTTAGTGTTTGAATGGCGTTGTTTTAGTAAAAGCGAATTGTGTGGCTGTTAGTACTTGAAATTTAGCTATTTAGTTCTTGAGAATAAAGTGTACGTTGATTTTCTTTAAAATGCCTCATTGTTTATGTGCTGATTTCCTCTTGCCCGAGAAAGTGATTTCATTGTTTAAAATATATATAATGTTATCATACGTTTTGGTACAGTTTTAACGTGAAAAAAAAAACTCTTGAAAAGTTCGGCAGGAGAGGCCTACATTACCACTTAGCCGTGCTCCACAGTAGAGACGGCGCTGGTAAAGAACATCACGGGTAAAGGGTGTACTAGGTACTTCTTCAAAATTGGAATTTGCGGGCGTCAATATTTTTCACCAACGACAGCACGACGCCGGCTAGCTGCTGGTGACCATTTCTGCCGTGTGGCAAAGATCATGCGATTGGATCACCTTGAACGTACCTAACTGTTTAATACCAAATGCTGGCTCCTTTATCACGCGAACATCTGCCGTACGGACTACATGTACATTATTTATATCAGCTATAAACCATCATCTTTCCGAGATGCAGGCACAATTACATGTGGAGAGAACATGCTCATTGGTAATGCACGAGCACCGAACTAGACCAAGAGAGGGCGCAATTTTATCAACGCTGGCTCCATAGACAGTTAAATCTGTGGCTGGCTCCTCTGTAGGTAGTGGTCAGAACTGCACTTCGCTGGTTCACAAACGACTTTAAAGACTGCGCGTTACGGTCGCATCGATACCAACAAAATGAGCACTCCCGATCAATCGACGAGGGTGTGCACCTGCTCAAGGAGGATAACCAGAACAGTTAAAAGACGGTCGTACGGGGAAAAAAGTCTGTAAGCATCTGTTCCCCCATCGTGGTTCATAAGCCTGAGATCATCTTTCGTTGGCGTCATCCGAGATTACCAGCTGATTAGAGCCCTAAATATTATATTCACTGACTCTCAGATTGTCCCCGGTTGCGCCCGATGATGGACAATGACCACATCATCCAGATAGGCCGGGTTGTGACTGAGCGGTATCCCGTTCTAGAAAAGTAAGTAAAAAGTAATGGGCTTTAAACAACCCTGTAATACAGTTTTTCGGCCTTAAAATAAAGTCTGTTGTCCATTTTCCATTTTCATTTCCGACATTTTATTGCAAAATTATTGTAAGGTTCATTTGAATCACTATGATGTTTATCATGACATTAACGGTGATGGCGGCTCTGACACTACACCAGCGCCACAATCAAGTTGTAAATGTAATTTGAAAAATTTCCCTTACGGTAAATTTGATTTCGTGGTTTGTTTCATTTCTTATGTAGCAAATCAAATTCTATGCATAGATGTTTTCTAAGATCAACATTTCGGGTAAAAAAATGTACAAAACCAATCGGGAGGGAAAGCTATACCAATTTAGCTTTTAAAAGCCTAGGGCACTTAGAAAACAAATCGACCGGGAAAAGAGGTGCAGCGTTACTTCCATGCTGTTGAAAAAAATTGAAATTTGTGGCAGCATGGTATGAAAACCCTGGAGTGCCATCAAGTATATTTTTGAAAGAGTGAAGTATATTTTTTCAAAGTTTGTTTCTACAAATAACATTTTACCAAAATTTGTTTCTACGAAATGCATTTTTTTAGATCGTTCTTTGTGATGTGTGATGAAACATTGTTTCTATTTTTGGAAACTTTTTTGTTATGAGATATATTTTTTTCCAATTTTGTTTGTGTATCTTGTAAAAACAAACTTTGATGGCACTCCAGAGCTTTCTTAACACGGCAAGTTTCATCGGCACGGCTAATGCCAAGTGAGACCGCACGGCTAGATTCATCCATACCTGCTGGGACATGTGCGAAGTGCACGGTGAGTCGGTGCCCCTGCAGTGTTGCACTCTGGGTAGAACAAACGACGATGGCGCGGTCCTCATGAAGTGCTCTTCCTCGATTGAGAATACGGACGAGTCCTTTGACGGCGTCACGGCAAGATTGGAGTGTGGCTTGGGGGTTCTTTCCTGGAATGCTTTCAAAATGACCAGACTCTGTCGACAGAAGTTTATGGAAAAGATGAGTCAGTAGGCTATGGCTTTGCCATTTTGCAATCCGTAAACTTATCCGATACGATACGTGTCCCTTAAAATGTTTCTTTTCCATCTCCAGCGTGTACATACCAAGTTAGGTTCATTTCAAATGCCAAGGGGGGGGGGACTCGTATTCGTCAGTGTTTTTTTCTTTTACCAAGTACACGGCGATGGAAGTTCCAAGGATGAATCCAGCGAACACGTCGGAACAGTGATTTTTGTAGGATGCCGCCCGAGAAAGTCCCCATATAACGGCGCAGCTCAGGTACGTGAGACAGAGCAGAGGGACTGGCAGACGGACGTTCCGGAACTGCATTTGCGTGGAGAGATACACCTGCACTCGGTACATTATTTTGACGGGAAAAATGAGTGGTGGCCGTTAGAGCAATTTTAATGCATTACCCAAAGACGAATGTGGCATTTTAAGTCACCCTTTGCATGTTGTCGTAGAAATAATGCAACGCACGCAAGCTTTGGGCTACACAAAATGCATTATACTGTAATGGCTTGACAACCAACAAAATAGGCCATGAAAGAAACAGTGTGACGTCAGTTTGGGCGAAGTTCCGTCCAAAGAGCGAACATCAGACATTTATTTAGAACTCAGTAACGAAAATATTTTAATGCTGAAAGAAGTCTCGAACGTTTTGCGCAGTGTAGCCCACATTCTGGGGCTGAATACGGCCCGGCATTTCGCAATAGTGCGCGCCTCCTAGAGATTACAACGCACTGGCCAATCACAATGCGCAAAATCTGTCGACCATGCTTGTTTGGAAAGGGTCAACAGATTCCGCACGCTGTGATTGGCCAACAGGTTGCAATCTCTTGGAGGTGCACAATCGTAAATCGCCCGAATTACCGGGACCTGTTTTTCGCCTTTGACTTACCGTGGCAAAAACAGAGGAGTAGGCACCCAGCGACGCATGGATTGACGGTAAAGACCTCCTATATATCGACAAAACAGCAGTTTAACAATTTATCTCTCATTGTAATTTTGTTGCTCAAGGATTCTCCGCAAGTTTGTTTTTTGAATGCTTTTCTTATTTTTGACCGGATGCCACTGCACTGGGATGGGCAAAAATTGGTCCTCAGTTTTTGATATTCTGAGGAAAATGGACAAGAGGGCAGTTGAAAAATGAATATATTTATTATGTAGAAGATTCTGGGGGCTTTAACTCAAAAGTGCGACTCGTTCAGGCTGGGTTTTATAATTTCAATTCTATCAAAATAGTTCAAATCATTGCCATCTCTAAGTGACCGATACCCAAGTTTTACCTAATTGCATGCATGGCCATGGCCATGCATGGTGCTTACCTCGCTTGTTTGATTAGCTCGTGGTCGCCATTCAAGCAGGTGTAGTCCGTGACAAATCTCGTGTCGGCGGGACCGTAGATCGGACTGCAGGCGTCAGGATCGCACGCAGCGAAGAAGTAAGGCGTCATCTGCCCAGTTACAATCTGGATGAAATCGGTGATGACCCAGGTGGCGAATCCTCCAAAACTGAACACACCTTCACGTTTCAATCGCGATCGTAAAGAGCAAGTAAGATCTTCCACTATAAAATGTTTAATTCCTTCAGAATTTGTCCAAAGTTGGCCAGTTTGCAAATCAACCCATAGATTGATGCACGCGGTCTATAATTTAAGTTCACTAAAACAAAAACAAAATTTGAAAGCTTTCAAGACGAAGGTGCTGTCAGATTTCTTTTGAGGTATCTTAGACCGGGGAGCATAAGAAAAAAGAACAAGACCAGTCAGTGTTCAGGAAAAGAACTTCATATGATGATTCTTGTCCATAAAACAATTCCCCGGATCTTTTTCTTTGAAATGTGCTTTCTTTTAATACATTTGAAATCATAGATAGAACAAGAAAACTAAATTCCTCCATTAATTGCACAACTTAGGTAAGAATCAAATGACAGGTTTCACTACCTTTCTGCCTGTTCATTTAGTTTTATGTGCATAAATTGTTACCCTCACGATAACATCAAAAAGGTTGGTTTCGATTACACCTTTCCCAACCCAAGTTTTGATACATCTCAGCAACGCAGAGACCAGCGAAGAAATTCTATGAGCCCTCTAATCAACTGGACCATAGCTCCAAGGGTGGTTCCAGAGCCATTTTTGGAGGGTGGTGGTTGGGGGGGGGGTTAAAAATGTAAATTTCTAATAATACGCTTTCTTAGGTGTGAGGACAATCCAAAAAATCCTCAGTACATTAAAAGGAAAACAAAAATGAGGGCATGCACTGAGACTCCCACTGCCCCGCCCCTAATCTTCCGACGGATAATATTCTGTATCAAATCGCTGTTTTACAAGTGTTGATATAAGACCCACCGATGAAGCGCAGCGCTCTCCTCATGGGCGTGTATAGTCGTAGACTACAGCTCAGCACGACCTTCATTGTGTCTTTACCATTATCACACTTGCATAGAGCCAACATGCTCTCCCCGAGGAGGATCTAGATTCAGTCGTCAAGAGAAAAAAAGGCGGGAAAATCGAGTTTAACGAAAGGAAGTTTTTTTGCCTTTGATACAATTTACCAGGATTTGATTGAGCCATAGAAATTCATATCGACAACAAAGAAGTAATTGCTTCGTGGCAAGAAATAATTACGATGTATCCAAGTTTTAAAATAATATATTATCAGTCTATAGACTAATTCTGAACAAGTGCAGGTATAATTATGAAAAATAGTTTCTATTTCACCAAAATCAGTGTATGAGCACTCCCTCTTTTGACTCAATGAATGGACCCCTTTTGAAAAATCATGTCTATATACAGATACGTTGGGCAGGGCAAAAAAAATACATAATACCCGTGAAAGCATATCAACCAAACACTACTGTTGAGACATAAAAAGGATTTACATGGTCTGAAACTTTGGTTTTCTTAATAAAATCACATGGTGCTTCTGCTGTGGGTGTATACTAGACAATGTTGATGGAAGAATTTTATTCCTAGCCTGCTGAAAGACAACAAGCTTTTTGCACACTGTCAGTTGTTGGTTTGGTTTGGTTTGTTTGCTTTCGTATGTTTAGATTTTTTTATTTTAAGCCAATTAAAATTAATTCCTCGTTTATCATCACTCAAAGTTATATTTTTAGGTTGGGAGGGCCTTTGATATGTGATATTTCAAGTTACTTTTTCCCAGACTTTTCAAATAGTCTAAAATACATTTCTTGTACAGCATTTTAACGCTTGAGTGTTCCAAATATCATAACAGCATGATCAGATCAATCAGTCAAGGTTGAGGGCAAGATTAGAGAAAAAAAATCACAAGGCCGTTTTGTGGTGCAGATACATCTACAAGGTTGAAAAGGGCCGGGAATTTGTTAAAAGTTGGAAATATCAAATATAAAAAAAAAAGTCAGGACGGTATAGGGAAAATCGGGTCGGGCGGTGATGTAAAACAAGGAATTAATTTTAATTGGCCTTAGTTGTTTGTTGTTGTTTGTTAGCTGTTTCAAATGTGTTGTCCTGCGGGGTTTTGTAGAATGATCAGTTTTGGAACGTATTCCTGCAGTGCCGGTGGGGGAAAGCAGAAAAGGTTTACCAGAATGATTGGCGCTGCAAAACTGATGACGTAGAGTCCTCTCTCCGGAACAATTTCTTCCCGGTTGTACGGCTTCATGTACTGCCTCTCATTGCACCAAAATCCTCTCGTTATCTGATTAGGAAGATAGTCTGTAAACTCCAGAAAGAACCAGAGGGCACCGACACCGGCGAAAAGCACGTAGTCAACGCTGAGAAAGCAGGGGACCAGCCACGTGTTTTTGGATACCAGTCGACCGCGCTGGTCTTGATATGGCTCAGTGGTACTGCACCAGCGATGGTCGTCCACCATTTTGGTTGACCGTAGCTTGAGGACACAGAAAAACGGTACGGTTAGACAAAATATTTCGTGTAGTGGCTGAATAAACCCCACCATCTGATTGGTGGTAGTCATGCACGTGCCATTGTATTTTTCGTCCAAACACAAGTCATGGCGCGTTTGCACCGAAAACAGAACGTTCTAATCCACAGTAAATAGAACGTTCTAATCGATGATAAAAAAATTTAACTCGTAAGGGTGCAGGGATTTATTTATGATTCATTCAGGTGTTGAATAAAGCAATTAATGAAAATTTATTTTACGGCTGTAGAAAGATAATTTATTTCATTTATTGATGAAAACTTCCATATTTATTGTTACCAGCACCACTGTGCAAATGTGGAACACTCATTTTTATGCAGTGACAACTAAGATGTGCAGAACTCTCGCATCTGCATTTCCTTAATAGCTACCGTATTTGCATAAATATTTGCCTAATTAATCACATGGAGCTCTAAGTTGAAACTAACTGACATGCAAACAAAGGAAAAGTATAAAACCACGACGGCACAAGTCAGAGTGAGCTTTTAAATGTAAGTCCCCGGGGAACCTCAATGGGGACAGGACTTTTCTACAGCCATTACTCTAAAATCCCCAATTTTTGCTAAGGCTTAAACTGGACTTAATAAAAAAAATAAGGTCAGGTAGAAATCCAATTGCCTGTTGGCTAATTAATTACCCGTGTAAATGAAAAAAGTATTGCTCAATGCAGACAGCTATTACATCATTCAGTATAGAGACCTATATTTTTATTTAGGAAGAGTGAGATTATTGAGATCAGATTACATGTATTCAGAGAGAAACAAATACCCCGAAACCAGACTAAAACACTACATGGAAAGAATCCATATAGTTCCAACACTTAGGAAATAAAACCCTGATAAATAAATTGACTCAAATTCTTCTTGTTCGTTTAAAGTTTCAAACGGAGGACGGGAATTTCACTGGAGCCGCCTGAGAGTGAAATAATTTCACTCTTCAGAAAAAATATCTACTTGAAGACAATTTGCACTGGTTTCAAGCGACTCTGCGCATTATTATTAACGATAAAGGAAAAGGAAGAGGACATTAATGAAGGATATGTGTTGCATATTAAGATCAACACAATTCCCGATGGAGTTTCATTAGCTCACGAAATAACCATCATACCGCTGATGACTAAACACGAAATTGAGAGGAAAAGCGCTGGGAAGCTAAATTTGCTCGTAATGAAATCTTCCTGGAAGGCTTGATTGAAAACGAAATGAGATTGATATTAATCAGAGGAAATCGGCTCTGCCTGTTAAAAATCAGTAGTAGATAAAATAATAGGAAGACGGTGCAAGGGTTGACCCAGAACTAAATATTAAGGGGCCCCAAATTTGGGGGGCTATAGGACAGAAATTTTGAAATTGTCAATATAATATTTTAGGGACTTTCCTAGGGCTGAGGCTACATTAAGTGCTTTTTAAACGCTTTAATATAGAAGCAAGGGCAAAGAAACAGAAAAATCCCTCTTCTCTCAATATTTCCCCCTCCCCAAAAAGAAAAACGGGGCTGGGGGTAGCGGGGGGTTCATGGGTCCATTGCCCCCAAATCTGCGCACAGGATGAAGATACCATAAAACAACTGAAAAAGGAAACTTTGCCGATATCTTAAGAGTATGAATTGTCCACATTCAAGTGTAGGCATTGGATGGCTTCTTCGGATTATAGTATATGTCGGCCCACACACATGTAAACCGAAATCATTAAAGTTTTACTTTGGAATTAGGAATTCAGAAATATTTTGGTGCAGCATTTAATTTTCATCAATACATGTTTGATAGTGTACGTTGTTAATTGGTTTACCATTCTCCTTCTACCCCTAGTAAACACACTAAATACTTTATTACCAATGGAAAATTTAAGTTCTATGAGTTCGGTCGTTCTACCCCTTTGGCAGCCTTTTTTCCACTAAATGTTCAGGAATTTTGATGGCCCTCTTCCCTGCCTTTCTCAACTCTCAAAGTTCGTGTACATTCTCATTTTGCCCTGCCTCCATGACTACCTCACATTTCTATTTTGCGCGTTTTCCAGTCCAATTTCTACGTCTCAATTCACCTTGCCTTCTTTCCATGTTTTGTTTATTTCATCAATCCCCACTAGCAGAAGGGGGGAGGCGGGGACCATGACCTCCCACTCAAATGAGAACAATTTAAAAATATCTAATGATAGGAAGACGATTTTTGGAGTTTTTAATTTCTCTTCTCTCCGACGGGAATAAAAACCCATAAATGTATAGACTCTCTCAGAATACCATAATTTAAGTTTCATAAAAAAATCTAAATTCCCCATCGCCCTAAGAAACCCACCCCCTCCCCCAAAAGTAGTTTCTGGATCCTCCCCGTCAACCCTTGGACTTTATTTTCCCATAGAGATCATCATCTTTTGTTATCTTCCCGGCAAATCATCATCCTCCTTACACATCAGTCATTAGCGGCCCCTGGCAAAATTCCCCGCTGATCTTTAACCGCATGTACTCCCGAACTCTCTGCGGTTATAAAATAACGACATGTATTTCAACCGACCGAACAGATCTGACAAAATTGGTGAAAAAAAAATTGGTACTCACTTCTGCGGTTCTGCTCTCCTTCGGACGTCACAATGGCGACTCTGAAATCACATCGACTGTCTCTTTTAGCTATGTTTTACATTGTTGTTCGACGCGCTCGTTCGCCAGCCGTATATCATAAACTCAGGTCCTGATCTTCCGCAAGAGTTAACGCATAATGCCGCTCGCCGCTCGCTTTACAAAACCTTTTATTCATCCAAGGAAATTATATTATCCACTACGTCAGCATCCATGCTGTAGCCAGTGCATTTTTTCTCATGCTAAAAGCCAGGTGTTCCCAACAATGTGCGGGCTACTTTCAATCCCTCTCCGTGTTTTGATTAGTATAATTGTGTGACGCTCATGAATAAATTCTTCCTGTTGTCATGGTGACAATTTTCCAGACGTTACGTTACTTAATAATTCTTACCTCGGTCACACTTACATTATAAGGCCTACTTATACGTGTGTGTCATTTCTTCATATCAAAATCTAAATATGATATTCTTTCTCGTTTTGTTTTGATTTTCTGTTTGTTATTTTATTTTATTTTAATTTCTCATGAGGCCTAGTTTATGGATCCGAGGTGAACAGCAAAGGTATACTCTGCTAGCAAAAATTGACAAAGAATGTTGCGCTGATCTATCCTAAAGCTCAAATCCTACAAAATCACCGCTAGCCCACTATGCGTCAACAATCATTAACCGAGGGGAAAAAACCTCTCCGAGGATAAGGAAGGCCAATGAAAGACCGCAAAGATTATTTTACTAAGAAGAGAAGGCTCTTGCTGCCTCCGATAATAATAACATTCACTTTCCTTTGTCATTTAAATCTCCTTTGTGAACACGTGAATTGATTTTTTTTCAGTCCAAGGGGTAAAGGGCTTTAACCAAGTCATCAATATGTAAATTTATCGGTTGTTCAACGATCGCAGTTAACATAACAATGAAATTCTCTAGACCACAGGTGGTGCTTGGGAAACTTCAACTGTGAATCACGTCTGCGACCAGTTCGGGTGTGGTCGTGGAAAGTGTGCACCGGCGTGAGAAATCTGCCCAAAAAGTCGAAAATCCGGTGACCTAATTTATGCAGCAGTGTTTTGGCGAAGCTGAGTGAAAAAAAACTTCAAACCTGAGGCAACACAGTTGGTAAGTAAGCTGTTGCTTTTAAGAAAATCTCGTGATCTTATCGACCGACGGTTGTTCGAAATGTTACTATCTCCATGGAGGTAGAAATAGATCCTGAATGGAAGCTAGATACCTACTGTGAACCATTTTAATATTAAAAAACCACGAACTTTTATATCTTAGCACTAAGCCTTCTCCGTTTCCTTGGCCAATATGATTGTGCGGTAAAACGAGCACTGGTGAGGAGGCCTGTGATTTGGGGGCGGGATGTGGGTTGGTAAGATTTTTACATTATGTTTCGATGAAAGTTGTGGAAAACCTACCCTCACGAGTGCGACCCGACAAACGGTTTGCATTTACATATTCACGGCACAACCAATCTAACCAAAACTTAATGATGTTGGATCACGAAAATTGCGTAAGTTGAGGTGGCACCCATTCCAGCGATGCCTGAAATTCAATGGAACTGTAGTATTAACAAGAGGTAATCGTAGGCCATAAATCATACAAATGTGTGGGTTTGAAGAGCAGACAATAGCCCATTGAATGAAGCTGTTAGAGCATGCATGCAGGTATACTTAAAGCAATCATTTCGGGTCCGTACACACATTATGCAGTCTGTGAAAAGTTTATTACAGGTCTTGAAGTTCCACAAAGGTCAACCTCTTTATGGACTGAATTTGAGTTCATTGCACTCAACATTGTGCTGACCAACATCTCTTAATATGAGGCAAAAAATTGAAAAATTTCAATTCTTTTGAAGTCATAAATTTCCTTTGAGATACATGTATGTTAGAGCTTTGGGAGTATGTTAGAAATGACTAGCTTTTGCATTATTAAAATATTGCTTTTTGATAACTTTGAGCCAGAGATGTTGGGAAGAGTTCCATACTTGGACATCACTAATTTCCCTGCCGCTCAGCCATGAGAAAATGAAAAGTCCAATTTAGCAGGGAAAAAGCATTTACTTTTATATACAAGGTGTATAGTGATGTCTGCCTATGGAAATCTTTCCCAGATTGTCTTTAAAACAATTAAATTTGATCAATATCTGACACAGCTGACTGGAATTTACCCTACTGAAGTTGAGATATTGCTTGTTACTTCTCAAGGGGAGAAAAAGTCACCCTTCCCTTAGTATTCATGATGAAGGGGCGTTACCTCACCGTGGTCAACAATGCCCTCATCCCTTGTTTCTTCTTTGTGGACTGCCTCCTGTTGGCCGGCATCATCGTCCTGTGGTACTTCATGGTCTTCTGGGAGGGGGGGGGATTTCTCCTGAATCGCCCCTACATCCCCTGTGTGGACGTACCCCATTACAGTTACCCAAACCTGGACACCAAGGTGCCCGACCTGGTAGTGTACGTGCTGTGTTTTGCCCTTCCCCCGGTGGTGGTGAGTGTCTGAAGGTTGTTTGTTGTTTTACAGGAGTCAAAGCATGGAGGAAGTTTAGCTTTTTGTTCCATATAGGGAAGCCACTAATGTTTCCCTGCAGTTATATGTTGGCCATATGAAAGCAATAGCGTTACCTAAAAAGCCAGATTTAGCAGCGAAAATATTGACATATTCACGTAGAAAACGCTTAGAATTTTTCACACCAGTCTCGGGGTTTGTGCACAAGATGTCAAGTGGCATCCGTATGTGGAACTGTTTCCAAAATCTGGCTTTGATCCAGTCATCCCATTGAGAAAAAGATCTCTAGCATGGTCATAAATAACGAGGTGAGCAGTGGCATGGTTCATTTGAATAGCTCGTGACTTGGCTGAATTAACAGGTTATGACTTTGATGAACTGGCAGCAACATTAAAGTTGATTCATGAATTTCTCTTCATCCGTCAATCTCGCCCCTGCACAGTTTCTTGTCTTCCTCATGACCTGTAATTGCTGTGACCCAATAAAATATGCGGATGTATTGTCTTCAGTATGTTCCTGTTTTTCTGCCTTAAGATTTTGTTTGGCGAGGCAGCCTTGGCAGTTTTCCAACTTCAAGGACATGAGAGCCCAGTCTTTGAGAAGACCGTCATTACTTTCGATATCAAGTTTCACCCCATCGTTAGACGCACCCTTCGATTTATCGGTGAGGGAAGAACCGCAGAAATGTCGGAAAAGTTGATTTTCAAGATTTGACAATTACTTAGATAAAATGATTATAGTTTTAAATGGGATTGTGATATGTGTTAGCTAATAACTGACAAGAATTATAAATATTACAATTGGGCAAATAAGGTTAAAATTTTAAGCTGTAATAGTCAAAATAGCACAGTCCTAACTGCATGTCCCCTTGCACAGTTTCATCTCTAAAGTTGGTCAAATTTTATCAGGAACAAGCAGCATTTTTGGAAATTTCTTGCAACTTTTTCAATAAAGTAATATGGCCCGGTATGATCTGAAGAACTTATTTTACAGTTGAAAACATTTCTGTTTTGACGTGGCTGTTATCTTGAAATCAGACTGTTATTTTTTAGTCTTACACTGTGGAACCTTTTTCAAGTGGAAAGAAAAGTTTTTAATTCCTGAGATGATTTTCATCGAGAAATGCATACTTGACAGGTTTTTTTGGCTCACAGGAATTTTTGCTGTGGGTGGTTTCTCAACCTGGATCCTCACCCGGGCTGCCCAGTTGGTGCTTGGGTACCCAGCCCCGTATTTCTTCAGTGTGTGTCTGCTGCCCTCTACACAGTGCACCGGCGCAAATGTTGTGACTCAGCTCCCAGACTGCAGTGGGACTGCCGACGATTTGGCCAGGTAGGCAGTTTTCTCTTCACCGTTACGAATTGAATTTTAAGTTTAAAGAGGAAGTTACTCCGGGACGGATTTTAAGTCCTCAACTCCTAGCCTTCTGTGCAGTCACTGCAGGTTTTGAGCTCTTCAACCAGATGTGTTGTTTTAATGGGAGTCCTTTTTTGTTGAAAGCATACTTGAAAACAAATTTGAGAAGCTACTTGAGCCTACGTCATAGGCCATTTACCTTTCGGTAAAAATAATATTTGTAATTCATAACATACAAGAGTAATTCCAGAAATTAGGGGTCCTTGTTTTGTGTCTGTGTCACATCCAACATATGATTTTGTAAGTTCAGAACACATTTTTCAATTTCCAAAAGTGGTGAGTTAATGCATATTACCTGCAAAACAGGTAGTAATAGTTTGAAATCGATTCTGATGATATTTCCATGTCAACTAACAAAGGTCAGATGTAACAGGGACACAAAAATGTCGCACTTTTGGACCCCTCATTTCTGGAATTGCCCATAACAGTTGAAATAACAGTCCTAAACTGCAGTATCACGTCTTCTATTCCTGTGTTTTTTGTATACTTAGACTCTGTATTTCCAAATATTTGTTGGACAACTTTAATTATCCTTTCCAGGATTTATGGTCATTTTCTTTCTCTCTACATGTCAAGTGTAAAGTAAAAACAAAAAGAGAATAGTGCAAAAGGAATACTCTGGTGATATTTTCTTGTTCGTCACTTTCCAGGCAGTCTTTTCCGTCACTATTCGCCGCTCTGAGTGCATACTCTGCCATCTATACGGGGGTAAGTGTCAGTGCCAAGTAGTGAAGGAAACCGTCTTGCATTTTAGACTCTGAGGTAGCGATGGTTAGTTTCATTATAACAGGGTACAGAGACAGATTTTAGCTCACAATCTTGAGGCTCCTTTTTTTGGGGGGGGGATCTAGTGAGCATTGAGTATTTTAGCCCCTGTATTTTTCAACATCCACTTTCTAGAGTAAAACATCACTCAAAATTTAGATTGAAATAGTCTGAAAAAGATCCACCTTCAGTGTAAACTTGATTGTAAATCTGGATCTTTTCAAGAGAGTAAATTTTACATCTGTACTGGACTTGTCCCTAATTTCAGTGAGAGAAAAATTTTCAATATATCCTGTGAATGTTCACCTTATTGTAATTAAGAGGTCTAATTAGTCATTTTAAAGCTGACTAGTTAAGATACTGGAGGGACACTCAGTTTAGGCACAGCTTAATTAAAGGGAAATTTAAATCACCTGATCCCCATCAAATCCCTCTTCCTGCCAGTTGTATAGGCAGGTGGCTGTGTTGACAAAGCTCGATGCAATTGTGTAATTCCTCCTCTTGCAATTATTTGAATGAAGGTGTACGTGACCAAGGTCTTTGTCCTGAAGTCGGCCAAGACCTTGCAGCCCTTGATTGTCCTGGCCTTCCTGGCACTGTCTTTCCTCACTGGCCTGGAGCAGCTGGCCTTCTACAAGGGCAGCTGGTCTGACGTCATTGCGGGCTGGCTGCTGGGTGGACTCATTGCTGCTTACTTGGTAAGCTGGCCATTTGTTGGAACAGTATTTTCTTCATTTTCAATCACCCTTTTCAATTCGTAGAGAGAGTTAGGGTGTTGGATTTAATGCAAGCATAACTGATATTACCCGGCCTGAAATATGGACTTTCTTATGTTAAATTTTCAGTACTTAACATGGGTGAGATGGAAGGGGGAGTGGTTTACTGCCTTAATAAATCTAACTCTAGGAGTATTTAAACATCTGTTCATTGCATCGGGATGACTCTAGCTGGTTCACATTCCTTGTGGTGCACTTACAAACGGCGGCGTTGGGTTTGCAAGAGCCCATCTCTGTTTGATGCTATGCATGGTGTGTGATTTTCTTGCAGATTTTACGAAGGTTGACGCCAAAACTGGAGGCTTTGAGGACCGATCAATTATATTTTGTTCCACGTACTGGGAAAAATGCAAGATTCACATAAATATGGCTATTTATGGGTATTTTTTTAGTTGCCAAATACTCGCCTGTCAGGAAAAGACCTAGTGTCAGATCCATCCAGCACTTGTTTACAAAAAGGGAGTGACTGGCACTTATGAAATGGGGGATACCCCCAAATGGGGGATACCCCCAAATGGAGGTGACCCCCAAATGGAGGTGACCCCCAAATGGAGGTGACCCCCAAATGGAGGTGAGCCTGAATGTTATAAATGAAATTAGTTTTTCTGTCTTTTTAAAATTTTAAACAACCAGTTGGGGGTAAATGGCATTCATCCCCGAATGAACAAATTCAGCCTGTTGCTTTAAACTATTTGCTGTCTTTTCTTTCAGAGCGTATCCATCCTGAATTGCTTCCTTGGTCACGTTTTTCACTTCCAACCCCACCTTGTGGGTTTGCCAAGGCAGCACTCATCAGAGCTAAATGGCAAAAGTCGCCACTACTCTGAGCGGCCGGCCTACATCGACAGAAATATGGAGGTGGGTGAACTTTGTTTTTTGCTCACTTGAAAATCATGATCATCATACGCAATAACAGTTTGGACTCTAAAATGATCCACACAAATCCTTATCGGAGGATCTTCAGAACATATATCCAGATCAAATGTTACCACACATTCAAAATGTTTTCTTAATAAACTTTTATGGAAGTTTTTATATTTCATAACAAAAACACCCTTCAATTGTGCTCCACCAACATGCCAGAATAATTTGTGCTGTTTCTCTAGTGGACAAAAGCAAATTGGTCATCCAACAGCGCTCCCAGTGGCAAGAGGAAGCCAGGTGCTTTGTTGTTGAACTTTGATTCACATGCACAACTTGCATGTCCACAAACTTAATTGATCTGTAACAGTTTATCAAATGCATACACAAATCATTTTATTGGCCAACGTTCAAATTAGAACATTTAAAGAATATAATGCACACTTCCACAACTCGAAAACTGCATGCTATGTAAATTTCCCACCTCAAAGAATAAAACTCTTTCTTTTCTTATTCTGTCTTTCACAATGATGAACTCACATTTATCAATCTGAACCTTTGACACATTTTTCTCGACCTGTCAACACAGAACCCCTATGCAGGTAAAAACGTAAAATCTACTTGGATATCTTTTGCTTCCTTCTCTAAATTGCACTCTATGGAATCCTTCCTGTGAGCTTTGTAGTGCTTGCAAGACATGATGTTTATTTGTCTCCAATTAACTGCATGCGTCTTCAATACCTCCTTGCCAACTCCAAATATTATTCCCTCAAAGCAGGTGCATTTTCCGACCACTTTTTTCCTTTAATATACCAGGCTTGTTCAAACGTTGTTCGGAGAAACATATTCAGGACTTTAGAGCAAACTTTCAGCCATATAGACTTAAATTGTTAAGAATTTTTAACTGAATGTACAAGAGTACACGTACATGGAAAAGAATCACATTGTGCTTATGTGTTGGGGGCGCCAACATTTTCATTTGGAATCTTTGAAACCATCCCTTGAAGAACTTCTCGAAGTTGTCTCTCCTCCTGGTTTCTTTAGTCTAATTATAGTGTGCATTACTGGTACTTTATTGTGTATTGTCAAAATCTTTTTAAAATCTGTGTCCATCCCTCCTCGTGTGGGCTTCACCTGTGCAGTCCTCCATTTAATTCCCCGCTGATTGGCAGACAATTTCGCTTCTACTTTTACAGTGTTTTGGGACACGCATTGACGTGTCGTTTCTTGGTTGCGCCCTCTCAGTTGCTCCCTCTTCACTCCATATCTCCAGCAAAGGATTATCGGTCTTTCCCTCACCTCACCCAGCACTGAATTCCCTCTCTGGTTTTTCCCAAGCTCTTTTCCCTTTCACCTTTCATCGGCCAGTTCCAAACATTCTCCAGTGCCAGGAGATACCCTTATTTCTTTCACTTGGCACCGTCTCTAACCCTGTTGAATGTGTTTGCATATCAAACTGACGATAAACTTAGTCAGTTCCACCTATGAAATCCGGTTTACATGTAACTCTTTTATCTGCAACTGCAAGGGAATAAGAAAGCACCATCAGCGCTGTATGAATTGGGTGACGGTTTGCAAACTCCACATTATCCACTAAATCAACCCTTGGGGCTCATCATCTTGATGAACATCATCTGGCAGCTAACATATTCTCATCCGTTGTCTTCTGATGCTTTCCCACTTCTTACTAACCCATTCCAGTCGCCCGGGCGCATCGAGCGGCTCAGGCGAAACAGGAGGGGTTCTTCACCTATGACGGGGTCAGGGGTCGCGTAGCACGAAGGGCCTCTGGCGCCCATCGGGCTACGATCCGAACGGTGCCACAATCCCAGAGCGAGACTGAGGCTGCAGTGGGAACTAACTACTTCTAACGCACCCTCATTCATTCCTGTTTGTGCCCAACTGACTGTAAGCACCATGCGTTCACTTTCTGACAGAGAAACGGATAAAAAGCTTTCAGTTTTAACGGTGAAATTTCAATTTGACTTTCTGAAGCACATGCAAGATATGGAGGCCATGTCCAAAACAACTGGCTACAGCTTGAAGTAAACACACCTATGGGAAGTGACTATAGCCACAAGCCGGTGGCTTGCTTTAGTGCACATGTGATTTCCAGCCACAGCCACAACTTTTGGACATGGCTTCACACAACTAAGGTCTTCAGGAGATTTCAAAGCATTCCACTTCTTGCTCTGCAGAGTCGTCGTTAAAGAGGCCGGTGTCTTATCGCTATGCGCCTGACGGTCGCTTGGTGAAGTTGGTGTGAGGTGCAGATATGGTGGCCTGGGTTGATGTACCTGGACATGATGGGCTTTTGACAAAAACAAACTTGTAGTAATTAAAGAAAGAATTGGTCACATGACTTATGCTGGGCTTGAACACGTGGTTTGAACTTATAGTTATATGGTAAACCCACCAATCAGGAAATTGACTACAAACGTCACTACAAGAACACACTGCTATCAAAGTTCTCTCTCAGGACTCTTCAACAGGTTGACTGAATGACCAAGATGTGCACACTGTGTTATTTTCATGTGACATGTATTTTGCAAAGAATAGGCAAATGGTACGTGTACATAAAGACAAACAGTTTGTTTCATTTCAGTTACCCATCAGTAAGGAACTTGCAAAATGTTACATGTAAATCATGAGACGTCTTTAAAAGAGCAACATTCTTCAAACTTAATCATCTGGTCTTTTTGTGATGTAATGAAGTAACAAAAATTTGTACGAGTTTATAGCCTTTGTATAATTCTTTTGGATTTTTCAGGCAGGAATATGTAGCATGTAAATAACCCCCAAGGGAGGATTTAGGCCGACTGATGAACGATGATCATACTTGATTATGGGACCTCTCTTATGGTACCTCTTTGATGTGGACGCGACTAGAATCATTTCAAACCTAGCGGATGTTTGGCTCATTCCAGTGGATCACCTCGGTTCAGTTAGGAAAACAAGATGTCACAGTCTTGGAACAATAGTGTTCTGTTTCGGACATGTTGAAAACACCAATTTCGCTAATGCTCAAGCACGCATTGGGAAGACATCACATGTACCCGAACTTTTTCTGAGACCCATTCTACTGTACAATGTTGACTGGTACATAAAAGAAATCGTAACACTGACCTCCATACACATTACATGTTATTACCTGCATGCAGAATAACCCCTCAACCGCAGCAGAAATACGTTGAAAACCTATGCAAACACGCAGAAGTTTTGTGCACATTCTGACGAAATATATGGTGTATTTGTGACCCAACTTTACAAAATGAGTTACAAGTCACCAGCCCAATTTTTTAGTTGAAGGCCTTCAAGAAAATATTTGCACTGTGTAAATGAATGGGAACCCTCGATATTATTCACCCTTTCATCGTCCATTGTCATCAAGATGCTAAAGTGGGTGATACATCAAAACAAACAACCGAGTTTGCTCTTACTCATGCAAACTAAAACAGAATCACCAAACCTTAAGACTCATTTTGAGAAATCCAGTCTCATTTGTAGCTTTCATTAGTGGTTACATTTAATTTGTACATAAGCCATTTATTTAAAAACAAACTTTTCTACAGCACTTCAAGAACACAATTATATTCAACGGGTGACCGTTTCATGGACTTCTTAAACATTTTGTAGGAATGTGTGTTTTAATTTTGGCATGGCTATTTATCATTTTGAGATTAAAAATTAAATTCTTAAGTGTTTAAACACTGCTTGGAATATCTGATTTTGTTGGCTAAAAGTGACATTAAGTATAACTAGAGCTAATGTGCTTCAGGAAGCACGGATATATCAGCCGTGAACAGCTTTTGGAAATGTTGAAGGTGCACACAAGGTGACAACTGGCAAGTATGGCTAAATGTGCTAAAGAATATAAGAGCAGAGATTGTCCGTCGCTGCACATGGGAGTGTCTGGGACACCGCAGTAATAGCGTCAGCAAATCGGTCTATCAATAGTACATGAAGTACATGTACATTGCACATGTACATGTATGGGCAACACCCGTGGGCCAGTGGCCGGTCAGCGTAATGTGCACAGTACAGAATGTACGTTGAGGCTACGTACATTTACATCACGGCTCTCGAATAATTTAGTAGGCCTACGTTAATATGTTTGATCTAAATTGAGTGACCTCCACGGACAACCATGTGACCACTTGCCGAATTCTGTGTAAACCGTAGATAAGGCTTGCTGCAGAGATGAAAACATCAGATTTTACATTTGGACGATCAATAGAAGAACATTTTGAAAAAAAATTACCCCCACTGACCATTAGGTAACCACCCACATGGTGTTTCCTGCAAAGATGTAACTGCCCTAATTTGAGATTGAGTCATGGCTGGGGTAAGAAAAGTTAGTTTGTATTTTTAATGCAAATGACCACTGCTGACCACTAGGTGACCAGTGGCCAAATTCTATGAACACATTTTATGACACTAGATCCAGAGATATCATTGACCAAGTCGGACAATAATTGGACCAAGATTATAGAAGAAAGAATTTTGAAGAAAATGACCACTAGTGACTAGGCGACTACTGGCCAAATTCTGTAGTTTGGTCCAGAGATGCCACTGACCAAGTTGGACAATAATTGGCCCGAGGTTATGTAAGAAGCCTTTTGTAATTTTGAAGAAAATGACAACTAGTGACCACATGCCAAATTTTGTGAACAACTTTCATGAGGTTTTGTCCAGAAATACCACTAACCAAGTTTGACAAGAATTGGACCGAGGTTGTGGAAAAGCATTTTGTAATTTTAAAGAAAATGACCACAAGGTGACACTGGCCGAACATGCTAGTCACTACACATGAGACTTCAGCCTAGCTAGATTCTGTCCAAATTTGGCTGAAATTGGTGAATGAGTTCGGAAGATATTGCATTTTTTTGGGAACGTTTGAACAAAGAAAGTCGACAATTTCAGTATATCAGCCCGCTTCGCACGCTGATATAAAAAATGAAACGAACAACAAATTACAATATCAGGTGTCCTTTCAGTAGAATTTATTAACACATTTTACGGGTACAATGTATACATTATAATACCTGACAATTTCTCACATACGCCTGTTATATATTTCTGCAGTTTTACATGCCTTTATCACGAGATTTCTCAAAACCAAACTTCCTGTGCAGAGCTGACCACTGCCTGATTTAAAATGCACTACACATATGCACACAGAACTGTTACAAGAACCCTCACATGTATGATGTAAAAAGTTGAAATGTAATTCAATTCTCATGACGTAAACCTTGTAAAAATGATGGAAAATTAACACTTTTTAACCACAATTTATAACTGGAGTGGAAAGTTATGTACACAGTAATTTCCATTGGTACATAAAAATCCGTCTTAATGTCAATACAAACAGGTAAATTTCGTTCCACTTTTGGTCTGCAAAAGAAAATGTCAACTCTATTGGAACACAAAGTGCTCCTCTGTTTCTAACTGAAGCCAGCGTGCTTGTTCGCGAGTAAAATTTTTTCATGAGTTGAGATTCTTGCAGAAATTTGTAACAATTATGGGAACAATGCTAATATGCCTGGTCCCTTTCTGCTATCTCGAACCAAGGACGTGATGCAAGGGTAGACTCCTGGGCCCAATTTCACGACGCTGCTTAACATGTTTCCTTCGAGGTGAACGGTGCCCTCTGCTGTGCTTACTGTCTCCATGAAATACATACAGCCTCTGTTTTGTGTGCTCAGCAGTGCTGTAAAATTGGGCCCTCGTCTGATCGAGAGCATACTCTAACTTACCTATGAGTAGTATTCCTACTTTAAACCTCCACTGAAAGATTTTCAAAGAAAGGGGGTAGTTGTAAGACCCTCAGGCATCAGCCATTAATAGGCTGATCCATTATGCCCCATCCAATTATAGGGGCAAAATGGGAGGGGGGGGGGCCGAGGCCTCCCCAGTCGAAAAGTGGGGGGGGGGGCCAGTGCTTAATGCAAACATATGACATGCAAATATTCTACAAGTACTGTACAAACTATGATCGACCTGCACTGTACTGAGCAAATGGAAAGACCTTTCACAGGACAGTTTCAGAAGACATGAAGGAAACCAGCTACATGTACTGTACATGCAAGACAAGTCACGTCAGTTTCTTAGAGAGTGTCCAACTTTCCATCCGTTGGGGCAATTTTACTGCTTGATATTTAATGGCTCCATAATTTACAAATAATTTCCAAGCAACACTGAAGTCTCCTTTGATGTTTATAATACAATAGTCCATGTAGCAAAAACTTTAAAAGGTCTACACACACGTTAATCAAGCTTAACGTAACACCCCTCCTTCCAAAAAGGCCTGTGTACTGATAACGTCACAGTTTGTTTACATGCATACTTTCCAACAGAGCTTCAAATCCCTCATTCCCAATAAGCCATTTGCGAGTTAAATTTGAATAAAATCTGGTGCACTGAGTTATCTAACTGCACAAAACATTACGATTTAAATTCCCCAGACTAAAGACACTGCTGCTATACCTCGTGATTCGGGGCAAGCTTTCGGATAGCGACCACCATCTCTGGAATGGACTGGTTCCTTTGTGCCCTTCTCATTCATTGAAAACAGAGTATTGGTGCAAGGCGTCTCTTATGTAACTAAGCAAAAGCTTGCCCCGAATCACGAGGTATAGCAACAGTGGTTTTAGTAGGGAAAATTCAAGTTATGTTCACGTTAATTTAAAGCACGCAGTGTACCAGATTTGGGTCAAAGTTAATTGGCAAAAGGCTTATTGGCTGCCACAAGAAAGTACACACACAAAATGCGACATCATCAGTAAAAAACCTATTGTAATAAAAATCAACTGTCCTTGGATACAAATCCATTCGTGAATGAATTTGAGGCGCAAGATTGAGTCTGTTTTTCAAACTTACAATAATAGAAAATATCACCTGTATACAGAGGGATCTTATTAACTTACAATAATTACACCCCCCCGTCACAATAACAAGGTACATGTACATGTCATAAATTGACTCTACAATGACATTAGGATGCATATTTCCAAATAAAAACCAACACAAATTTCTTGACATCAAGCAATATTTATTTTATCTGCCTATTTCACTTCGAAACAATATACTCCACAAACGGTTGATTTAATACTCGTCTTTGCCATTCATGTACAACAATTTTACATGTCTACAAACAGTATACATTTTGAGGAGTGTACTGCCTAACTTTCTTTACAGGGATCGATAAGAAAAGTCAAATCAGAAAAAGATACATGTGCACCGTTTCGTCTCTTATTGCTAAAACCCACCTTTTACAAACAAACGTCATACATGGCCATCGGAAAGAGAATAAATATCAAAATATTAGTAATGGGTGCTCTAAACGTGAAACCACTGCTTCCTTTGATTTGATAAAAGCTGCGCTTAACTTGCCTCCTCAGCTGAAATACAGCTGATTTACAAAGGAATGTTTCACAAGAATTTACAGATGTTTTGTTTGCAGCAGACAGGTAAGTGAGAAATCCCCCGAGACCTGTCTTGTTAATCCCTCACCGACAAAGAAAAACCCATGTACATGAACAAATCCCAAGATATCGAAGGGGAAAGAACTCACAAGGGGTGGAAGAAAGGACTTGGTGGAATTTGGCTGGAGCAACGGCAAAACTCACTCATTCTTGAATCTGAATGAGTTGCACTGTATTGGAGAAAGTAAAAAAAATGACATTTTAACATCAACTTTGATCCTGTAACACTATATATGCCCTATAAACGTATTGTAACTATCCTAAATCCTCCAACAACAATTTCTTGCCAAGCAAAATGCAAGAGACAAGTTCATTTTATCTTCTACCTGTTCAAGTCTGAAAGATTTCCAGTGACTGTCTGCCAATAGCTAATCATGTAAACAAGAATTTTTTCAGTGCAGTTAACAAACTTATGCTACAACACTGAGTGCTTTGCTGCGTTCGTGTCAATTGGTCAATTAGCGTGAAAATAGTATCTGCATCATCACAGACCATCTTGAACAATCACTTCAAGAAAATACTGCCGTCTTTGTTTCAAAGGATCACAGATCTATTTTGACTCACCTGCAAGATGCCTATGATGACACCAAACAGTCCTATCGCACTGCCGAAAATCTCAATGATTAGGACCTTGACAAAGAGGCTAGGGTTCTGGGCATCGGCGAGGGCCGCGGCGCTACCAACCAGCCCAACGCAAATACCGCAGGCGAGGTTTGAAAAGCCTACAGTCAAGCCAGCACCAAACATGGCATAGCCTGCAGAGCAAAGAAAACAGGGACATAAGGAAAATGTACTCTACACAGGAGAAATTTATGTGACGGACTACAATGAAGACATTTAAATACTAATCCTTTGCAGGTAATTGGGCACAGGAGTTTCACATCAATAGGGTAGCTGGTTCCCCGGCAATGAATAAATGCAGTCGGCACTGCAAGTCACCAATGACAATTGCTCTGGCCTCTCTTCAGTGAGCCCTGAGGTGGACTAAGAAAAGTAGCAATTTTCCTACTGACAGAGACACCTTTGGTAGAAGCTGCACTTTGGTGGTTCAAGATGACTACGAAATTTAGCAGTACAGAGGCGTCGCTTACTAACAAAATGACAATTCCCCACCAACGTGGCTCTTTTCAACTGTCGTGGGGATGCTTTCTGCTCAAGGCGGATTGCTCCAGCCTCTCTTTGTGACAGGGGTGCTTTTGCCCGGTGTGGATGACCGTTACATGCGGGCCTACCTGCTTTATAGTTGCCCTTCAGGATATCCTCCGAAACGACCGCTGGGTCATAATTTTCAAGTAAATTGGAGATGACAAGGGCGAGGATGATCCCATAAATGGCCACTGCCTCGCAGAAGATAATACTGAGAGAATTTAAAACAAAAAAAAAAAACTGATGTCAGGTAAAATAAAGGAAACTCGATACAACTTGCTATGTACATGGCAATTTGTTTAAGCACAGATATGACATGCTAAGAAAAAGCACAGTTCATGTACTTAAGCACAGATATGACATGCTAAGAAAAAGCACAGGTCATGTACTTAAGCACAGATATGACATGCTAAGAAAAGCACAGGTCATGTACTTAAGCACAGATATGACATGCTAAGAAAAAGCACAGGTCATGTACTTAAGCACGGATATGACATGCTAAGAAGAAGCACAGGTCTGTACTTAAGCACGGATATGACATGCTAAGAAAAAGC